TAATGTGATTTACACCTGATAATACAAAAGTGTAATTCTGCATTGTCAGTGCTTTTGCACACTGATGACAACGCCCATAAGCTCAAAGCAAGAAAACCACTGCAATAAGGCATAATGGTTTTAGTGCTTGGAGTACTTTTATGCAAACGATTGAACTTTAAGAGTCTTGTTTTAAAAAGTCACTCTAAGCACCATAATTACTACTGTGCACAGAAATGTATTTACTGAAGTGTGAACTTTGGTAAATTGCAAAACAAATAGCAATAATTACACCAAAATAGACACAGAGAATTGTGTAAACTCACTTATTTTGGTGCAAATTGTAAAATTTAGCTTATCATTCACAATAATTTACAGTTTAGTAAATAATCCCCTCTGTTTACAGAGTAGGGTGAAGTTATTCGCAAGTGTAAGTTCCCTATTGATGATTAGATAACAAGAAATTTTAATATCAGTCACTATTCAGGATTTAGCAAAATAATATACAATATAAAAATTGGAATAATGTATCATATACTGTATCTTATAATAAAGCTTGTTTTACAAGTAAAGATATATTATTTAAAGCTCTCCCTATAAATATGCAGAACTGCCAACTATTTAGTGTTTGTTATTAGAGTATGCAGCCTGAATATGCACAGGATATTTCCTCGAACGACCTCCCCTTCGCCTGACTATGTGGCATATTGATTCCACTCCCTTCTCGTATGACAACAGTGACGTCAACCCATTCCTTGACAGTCTACCCAAAGCACTAACAGACTTCCAGGAATATTGTGCCCTCGTCTGACATGATCGCTTAGCACTCTGCAGGAAGTGGACAGCTTGCCCCGGCGAGGCATAACCAGCACATTGAATATTATTATCTTCATTTATAAAGCGCCAACAATTTCCGCAGGGCTCAATAAACATTAGGTAGAGAGAATAACAAAATTTAAATCGTCTGTAATCTGTGCTGTTTACATTAGTGTAAACGTCCTCATTCTTGTGTTACTCGGCTGGCTGAGACTCCTGGGAAATGGAATCCACAGCAGGCACTTTGCCAAGAGGTAGCAAAATTAGCCCAAATAGGAGCAATGGAATCCAGCTTAAACCTCTCAGTTCCAGCTGCATACCTCCCAACATCTGAAATAAACAAAGAGGAGCACTTTAACCCCTTTCAGGACGGAGCCAAATGTACACGTTGTGAACAAAACAAAATGTAAACAAAACCTGGCATTTGTGCTACATGTCTGTCCAGCCGTAATTCAACTCTTTTATAGTAAATGCACCCACCCTTATTATATATCATTTTATTCAGGGGAAACAGGGCTTTCATTTAATATCAAATATTTAGCTATGAAACATAATTTAATATGAAAAAAATGGGAGAAAATAAGATTTTTTAAATTTTTTTAGTTCTACATGACATTTTAACTGTCAATGTAATAATACTGTTTGCTTTTACTGCAATAAAATACACATATTTGTATTCATCAAAGTCTCACGTGTAAAAAAAGTACCCCCTATTTACAGGTTTTATGGTGTTTTGGGAAGTTACAGGGTCAAATATAGCACATTACATTTGAAATTGAAATTCGCCACATAGGTTATGTTGCCTTTGAGACTGTATAGTAGCCCAGGAATGAAATTTACACCCATAATGGCATACCATTTGCAATAATAGACAACCCAAGGTATTGCAAATGGGGTATGTCCAGTCTTTTTTAGTAGCCATTTGGTCACAAACACTGGCCAAAGTTAGCGTTAGTATTTGTTTGTGTGTGAAAAATGCAAAAAACGCCAATTTTGGCCAAAGTTTGTGACTAAGTGGCTACTAAAAAATACTGGACATACCCTGTTTGCAATACCTTGGGTTGTCTTCTTTTGCAAATGGTATGCCATCAAAGGGGTAATTTTCATTCTTGGACTACCATAGGGTCTCAAAGGCAACCTAACCAATCTGGCGAATTTTAATGTGAAAAAAATGAAACACAAGCCTTATATTTGACGCTGTAACTTTTGAACACACCATAAAACCTGTACATGAGGGGTACTGTTGTACTCGGGAGACTTCGCTCAACACAAATATTTGTGTTTCAAAACAGTAAAAAGTATCGCAGCAATAATATCGTACGTGTAAGTGCTGTTTGTGCGTGAAAAATGCAAAAAACGTCACTTTTACGGGCGATATCATCGTTGTAATACATTTTACTGTTTTGAAACACTAATATTTGTGTTCAGCGAAGTCTCCCGAGTAGAACAGTACCCCCCATGTACAGGTTTTATGGTGTCTTGGAAAGTTATAGGGTTAATTATAGTGCTAGCAAATTAAATTCCCTTTACTTTCGGCATGGGTTGTCAGGCAGGTCCCGCTAATTGTAATTAATTAAGATACCTAATTATGTAAAAATATTACATAGATATATATGTAGAATTAATATATGTATATATATATATGTATATAGATATATATATTATTTCGTTCTACATGTATTTTGATATAAATATATATATATATATATATATATATTAATATCACAATACAGTTAGAACGAAATAACACACATCTATATATTTTTTAATTATTTATTTTTAATTATTTTTTTAATTTTATTTTTTAACGTATTTACATATTTTTTTATATTATATATATATATATATAACAATAATTATATATATATTTAATCAGTATCAGTCTATGTGTAATTTGATATTAATATATATATATAATTATATATATATTAATAGTAAAATACACCTAGACAGTGTATGTGTGTGTATGTATATGTGTATACATATACTTAGATCATATATAATATATATATATGATCTAAGTATATAATTTTTTTTTTTTTACACTTTATTAATTTAACTTTATTTTATTTCCAGCCAGCAGGGAGACTACTGGCAATACAGCAGGCAGCTAACCCGACCATGTGATTGTGAGGTCCTCTCACATGGCCGGGGGGGGATGCAGGAGGTCGGACGTGCCGCGGGGGGCTCCCTGGGAGTCCCCCCAACTGCGATCGCCGGCGTGGGATCACCGGCGACTGGGTAAGTAACAAAAAACCGGAGGGCGTACTATTATGAACGGCGGCGTTTAGAGCCGCCTAAAATAGGACGTAATAGTACGCCCTCCGGTCTTAAGGGATTAAAGCAGGCTTTCCCAAACTCCAGATGTTGCTGAAAAACAACTCCCATCATTCTATGAATGAAATAGATAGGCCGAGAATCATGGGAGTTGTAGTTCAGCAACATCTGGAGGGCCGGAATTTGGGGAAGCCTGCTTTAAAGGATCACTATAGTGTCAGGAAAACAAATTCGTTTTCGAGGCACTATACTGTCCTTAGGTCCCCCCACCTTCAGGGCTGAAGGGGTTAAAACCCCTTCAGCCACTTACCTTTATCCAGTGCCGGGCTCACTCGGTGCTGGTGATCTCTCCTCCCCCTCCGACGTCAGCTCCCTAGTGGAGCCGAATGAGCATGCGCGGCCAGAGCCACGCGTGCAGGGGAGGGCTGGCAGCCTTAGGCCTGGGGGGCAAAACCAGTCAAGTGGTCCATTGCACCACCAAATCAGTTCACCATCCATTCCCACCTTTTCATGGTTTTATAACGGATATTGATGTTATGCTAATCAGTAGCTCTTTGCCATACCCACTCCTTCACGGCTCTGACTTTCAATGTTGTCAGAGCGCAGGCTGAGAATCTCTGAGCCTGTGCTCCGACTCACTAACTGAGCACCGGAACCACGAGGGAGAGGATATAATCTGACTGCACCTACTGCTGGTGTGCACCAGTGGACCACCAGCGAATCGTTTAAACTGAATAGGCTGGTGTCCCCAACTTGTGAGCTGTGTTGGCCGTCGGGCGCCTCTGTTGTCATGGCACCGTGCGTGACCGCACAGCGTGCACACCCCAATAGCTGGCCCTGCTGACACACACTAATGTTACTACTTAGACATCCCTCAATATTAATACAGACATCAGAGTAAACACCAATAAATTGTGGAAACAGAGCTGATCCCCCCCAAATTTATAAAGATTTGCTTAGTGGATTTGTTGTAAGATTAAATCATGCCTCCTCCTCTCTCTCACCCATGTGCTGCTCTGTAGAATGGGAGGAAGTGAAGAGTAATCACTATATCCCAGCACAGGCACCTGTGGCTGCATGGGGAACAGCTGGTTAATGTAATGCTTGCAGGACGGCCAGCTGCCGCAGAACCTCTTTGTTCCTGTCTCTGCAGAGGGCTCCAGGCACTCCATGCTGTGAGTGTGAGCCACTGTAAATTAGGGGCAGAGGGCACTTGCACTGGGGTAAAGACGGGTCTGGGCAGGAGGAGAGTGCTGTGAAATCAGTGCACTCCCCTCCTGTGGGTCATCAGTAGATTGGTGCACCTGCCCAGGATCAGAGCCAGTGCAAGGATTTTTGACGCCCTAGGCAAAAGAAAAATTTGCCGCCCCCCATGTGACATCACAATGCCCCACCCATATGATCTGCCATATGAACTAACGCCAGTGCTGCCCACAGTGTGTGTTTACATTAAAAAGCCTGCAGGGACCGGCTATAGACACCAGAACCACTTCATTAAGCTATAGTGTCCCTTTAATGTGAGGTAAATTATAGATTAGTGTCACTAATATCATACTAGATTGCCCACTTACAACCAGATGAGGATGATGATGGACTGCAGTTTGGCTTCACTAGTCTGTTGTAGAACAGGATCTCTGGAGGCTGTTTGCAACTGTGGTCACAAAATTCAATGTTCTGGGAGCAGCTCCATTTTTTGGGGACCCCTTACACAGCTCAAGTCCATAAGGCCTACTCATAAGTCCACTTATATGTTCCACCCACCCATGAGTTCGCTCACAGGAAGTGGAGTGTGTAGGGGATGTGTTATGTGTTATTGTAGAGGATATAATATGTGTGCTTATGGTATGTGTCACGACAGTGACCCCTTCACACAGATGGTAACCCAGAAATGGACGTATACCGGACCTTAGGGTGGCCGGACTTAACGTCAGAGAATAGTCAAAAGAAAAGTCAAGGATCAAGGGAGTACGGAAATCGGGATAAACGAGAAAGCCAAGCCAAAAGTCGGGGAGCCAGATAGGAGAATCGTCAGTACGGAAGCCAAGGATCAAAATACCAGAAAAACAGATAACTAAGTATAAGAGCACCAGAGGAACAATCAAGAACTACACTAGGGCACTGAGGGGTGGACAAGGATGCCCTTTTATACTGATGTGTGTGTCACTTTAAAGCCACGCCCCCAAAAGGTCCGGGAGCGTGACCGCGTTTGAATTTTCGCAACAAAACTATCATGACGTCGGCGCGCATGCGCCGCGTCATAAAACTGATTTCGCCGCGAGCGGGCAGCGTCTGACAGGCTGCGCCGCCTCCCGGAAGCAGGCGGGGGAACCGCCGTGCTGCGCGGGATCGGCGGACACAGGTAAGGTATCGTCACAGTATGTAGTGTATAGGGATACCAGTTTGTTTAGGTGATGCAGTGTGTTTGTGTGTATTGGAAGCAGTGTGTATATGTGTATAAGGGATATATTGTGTGTTTCTGGTTGTGTGTAAGGGATGCATTGTGCGAATCTGTGTTTGTATGCATAAGGGATGCAAGGTGTGTGTCTGTATGTGTGTGCATTGAGTGTGTGTAAGAGATGCATTGTGTTTGTGTGTATGTAAGAAAAGCAGTGTGTGTGTTTGCGTGTGTGTAAGGGTTTGCATTGTGTGTTTCTGTGTATGTGTGCAAAGGATGCATTGTCTTTGTGTGTAAGGGTTGCATTGTGTGTGTGTGTAATGGATGCATTGTCCGTTTTTCTGTGTGTAAGGGAAGCATGTTGTGTTTCTGTGTGTGTAGGGATGCATTGTGTGTTTCTGTGTATGTATAGGGATGCATTGTGTGTGCGTGTGCGCGTAGTGTGAAAGAGTTCCCTGTCTTGCCCCCTGTCCTATAGAGCTGTCCATTCTGTCCATTAGAGCTCTCCCCCACACTCCCCCACCCTCCCTGTGCTCTTCTCATCCCCCTCTCCACCCTCCCTGTGTTCTTCTCACTCACCTCCCCGTGTTCTTCTCACTCACCCCCCTCCCTGTGTTCTTCTCACCTCCCCCTCCCTGTGTTCTCATCTCCCCTTCTCCTCATCCCCCCCTGTGTTCTTCTTACCCCCTCTCCTCCCTGTGTTCTCCTCACCACCCACCCTCCCTGTGTTCTTTTCACTCCCCCCCCGTTCTCCTCATCTCCCCTTCTCCTCACCCTTACTCTCCCCCCTCCTCCCTGTGTTCTTCTTACTCCCCCCGTGTTCTTCTTACCCCTTGTCCTTCTTACCCGTTCTTCTTTACCCCTTGTTCTTCTTACCCTCCTCCCTGTATTCTCCTCACCACCCACCCTCCCTGTGTTCTTTCAGTCCCCCGTTCTCTCATCTCCCCTTTCTCTCCCCCCTGTTCTCTTACCCCTTGTTCTTCTTACCCCCCCTTGTTCTTTTCCTTGTTCTTCTTATCCTTGTTCTTCTTACCCTTGGTCTTCTTACCCCTCTTCTTCTTACTAACCCCTTCTTCTTCTTCTCTCTTCTTACCCCTTCTTCCTCTTTTTTTAGTTCTTCTTACTTTTCTTCTTACCCCTCCTTGTTCTTCTTACCCCACCTGTTCTTTCTTACTCCTCCTTGTTCTTCTTGCTCCCCTTCTTTTACCCTTTTCTTCTTACCCCATCTTCTTATTACCTCCTTCTTCTTACCCCTTCTTCTTACCCACCTGCTCTTCTTACCCCTCCTTGTTCTTCTTACCCTCCTTGTTCTGCTTACCTCCTCCCTTCTTGTAACCCCACCCCTTCTTCTTACCCCACCCCTTCTTACCCCCTCTTCTTCTTACCCCTCCTCTTCTTCCTACCCCTCCCCTTCTTCTTACTCCACCTCCCCTCCCCTTCCCTGTAGCGTGGCCGAGCTCCTCTCTGGTCCACGGTGCCCGGCTGGAGTGATAGGAAGGTGCACACTCAGTGTGCACTTCCTGTCAGTCCGGCCGGTTACAGGAAACAGAAACTCTGCGTGGAACAGGAGTTTCTGTTTCCTGTACCCGGCCGGACTGACAGGAAGTGTGAACCTTCCTATCACTCCGGCCGGGCACCGCGGTCCGCGTACAGGGAAGGGGAGGAGCAGCTGTAGCCGCCTGAGGCTCTTAACAGAGTGCTCAGACGGCTGCAGCATTAGGACCGGCCCGCCGTGGCCGGTTTTAAAATTATTTAGGGCGGCCTGGGGGGCAATTGCCTCCCTGCCCCCTGGCCCAGCCCGCCCCTGCACGCGTGCATTAAAAAAAGCCCATAGGAAAGCATTTTTCAATGCTTTCCTATGGACGTTCTGCATGCTCAATGCGATTTTCACATCCAGCGTTGGGGAAGCGCTTCTAGCGGCTGTCAGGAAGACAGCCACTAGAGACTGGATTAACCCTGCAATGTAAACATAGCAGTTTCTCTGAAACTGCTATGTTTACATCTGAAGGGTTAAAACCTGGGGGACCTGGCACCCAGACCACTTCATTGAGCTGAAGTGGTCTGTGTGACTATAGTGGTCCTTTAATTTTTCGGGTGTTGAGGGGGCTGTGGCCAGGGCTGTTCTGAGAAATTTTGCGTGACTTACTAAAAACAAAATTTGCAAATAGAATGTATTGTAGAACAAGAACAATGTATCGTATTTATACAGATGAATTTCTCAACACATTCGTTGAAGTTTAAAGACGCAGTTTTTCACCAAAATAAGAATTATTGTAAATTAAAAAGCATAGTTGACTTAGAGAAAATTTCCAATTCGGTTATTTTGACCTAAATTTGAAATTCATTTTGAATTTTCACTTGACTGAATAATCCTTTGGGAGTATTATTTCTGAGGAACTTATACACCAACAATATGGAGCTTCTTGAAAATAGAGACATTAGGATGGAAAAGAAGGCCAGAGGGATTTGGGACCAGTAGAGGGACTGTCCCTCCTACATAGGGACACTTGGGAGGTGTGCATCTCAGCTATAGTCACAGATTATTTTTTCTTTAAAGGGACACTCCAGGCACCCAGACCATTAGAGTGGTCTGGGTGCCAACTCCCACCACCCTTAACCCTGCAAGTGTAATTATTGTAGTTTTTATAAATTGCAATATTTACCTTGCAGGGTTAACTCCACCCCTAGTAGCTGTCTATCAGACGCCACTAGAGGGACTTCCAGGTTCTTAGAACACGAAAAGTGTTTTAAACGACGCTGGACGTCCTCACGCTATGGAAAGTCCCTTTAAGATTTATCATTTCAAAATTTTTATTTCATTACACACTGGGGTCCAGCAAATTATTCTGACTGGGGTCTACTCACTGCACTGACTCCGCCCCCCTGCACTGACTCCGCCCCCTGCCCCCACACCAGGCAGACAGTGAGGGCACAGCTGACTCATTGCTGCTTACTAAAGCTAGCGAGGGCGTGGCCTGCCGGCACAGTAAACATGTGACGTAGCCGCGCTGGCAGCGTGCCGACGTCATGGATGCGGTTGAGGGTGAAGTGAACTCGTTGAAGCCGGTTTAGCTGGGCGGATCTCCCAGCAGTGCGCATTGACCGAGTGCAGTCAGACCGTCAGACTGTCAGCATGGTGCGGCGTGAGCGGACTGCGGCTGGAGAGCATCGTGTCACCCGGTGCTGACAGCACCACAGCGGCCGGAGAGCATCGTGTCACCCGGGGCTGACAGCACCACAGCGGCTGGGCGCTATACAGCTGGCAGTGCCACTAGGACTGGGCATTATTCAGCTGGTACTGGGCTTTATACAGCGGGTACTGAAATAGAACTGGGCATTAAACAGTGGGTACTGCTATAGGCACTGGGCATTATACAGCTGGCAGTGCCACTAGGACTGGGCATTAAACAGCGGGTACTGGGCATTAAACAGCGGGTACTGGGCATTAAACAGCGGGTACTGGGCATTAAACAGCGGGTACTGGGCATTATACAGTAGGGACTGGGCATTATACAGCTGGCAGTGCCACTAGGACTGGGCATTAAACAGTGGGTACTGAAATAGGGACTGGGCATTATACAGCTGGCAGTGCCACTAGGACTGGGCATTAAACAGAGGGTACTGCTATAGGGACTGGGCTTTATACAGCTGGCGGTGCCACTAGGACTGGGCATTATACAGCTGGCAGTGCCATTAGGACTGGGCTTTATACAGTGGGTACTGCTATAGGGACTGGGCTTTATACAGTGGGTACTGCTATAGGGACTGGGCATTATACAGCGGGTACTGTCACTAGCACTGGGCTTTATACAGCGAACATCACCTCACCCACTGGGCACTTTCTCTAGTACTGTGCAGTGCCTCTAGGACTGGGCTCTATGCAGGTGGCAGTGCCACTTGGACTGGGCTCTATACAGTGGGCATCACCATAGGGATTGGACTCTACATAGCTGGCAGTGCCTAAAGGATTGGGTTCCACACAGTGGGCATCACCATAGGGACAGGGCTGTACATAGCTGGCAGTACCTCTAGGACTGGACTCAATACAGTGGGCATCATCACAGGGACTGGGCGTTATACGTCAAGCAGAGGTTGTTATATGAATAGAGTTAGCTGTAGGCAGCTGCTGATTGCCGCCTGTGCCAGAGTACATTATATGCCACCTCAGCTCCTCATGCAGGATCCTATACCCGCAGATTAAGGCACTACCAGCGCCTGGAGCAGGTTAGTATACAACAGACACATTAACCTGTCATCATAAGGGGGCTGTGTGAGGTTCAATGAAAATATATATTGTTACTGTGCTAGTAACTGGAATACTACATAATACATAAATATTATGAAATGCAAAAAATCATGGGTTTTGTTTACTAACGCAGCAATTGATAGCTAATAAGTAATTTATACACTTTATTAGCGTAGTTCTAAATTGTGCTCCTGTCTGTGTTTTTTTTGTTTTGTTTTTTAAATGTCCCCACAATCCTCATATTGGTGAACAAAGTCTGGAGCGTTGCATTTACCGGTGTATGTTCTTATACTTGTGTTTGTGGGTGAACAAGATTGAGTTTTCACTCTGTCATTTGCATTTTTTTTTTTCACAGGGGCCCTGCATTGTTTATTGAACGTTGACCAATAAAAGCCTTGAAAATGACACTCTCCCAGATCACCTTCCAAATCAAAGGAAAAACATTGCCAGGTAAATTGTAATTATATTAATTCACAAAATGATGTATAGAGTCCCACAAGGGGAAACTAACATCAGGAGAGCTCCACTGTTATAAGAAATGAGGAAGGGGGGGCTCTACCTTTTAATCTAAGGATAAGAAGGGATATGCAAACAAAAAGTACAACTCGAAAAAAGGAGTACTAAATTGCATCTAAGTCTTAGTTCCCCTAGTGTCAGAATGACGGGAAGTTAGTGTAAATTAGGTTAGGGAGAATTGAGAGAATTTTTTTTTTTGTTTGTTTTTTTAAGGCTTTTCTTCTGAGTTTAGAGCAGATTATCTGGTCCCTTGTTCTCTGTGGACCATGTGCCTTTTCTCTCTCCCTAACCTAGTTTACAAGAGCTTTCTGTCAGTCGGACACTAGGGGAACTGGGACTTGTAATTTAGTACTCCAGTTAATGGATCCCCTGGGCACAGTTTAGTAGATATCCTTTTTATCCTTAGATTGATTAAAGGTAGGGCCCCCTTCCTCATTTCTTATAACATTGGAGCTCTCCAGATTTTAGTTTCCATTGGTGGGACTCTATACCTCACTTTCTCCTATTACCTAATTATATTATTTTTTTAGTTGTCTCTTTTTGTGATGTCATTGTGTTTTGTAACTTTTGGCTGGACACAGAAATATGAGTTATGGTTTTTGTTTTGTTTAGGAACTCTTTAAATAAAAGAACACTCCTCTCCTAATAACAACTTTAGCTCATTGAATTTGTTATTGGGGCAGTGTTGGCCATGTGCAGTCTAACTTTCATTTACCATTGCGCCTGAAATGGCTGCCCCTCTCTGATTCCTTCTTCTCTAAATCCATATCATGAGGAAGATTTAGCAGATGTGGCTGGTAGGCTGTTAAAGCACTCTACCTATTGCTGGTTGCCATTGAGAGAAATCTGTACAATTGTTTGCGATAGCGTTTACAGCTCTCAGATTATTACTGACCCCTCGTGGCAAGTAGTGCTTCAAAATTGTAGGGATCTTTACTCTAATAAGCAAACTTCCTAAGAACGGAGTCATCACAGGCAATTTCCCAACTTGCTTTCTCATTATCTAATGTCATTCAGAATTTGAGTTTCTAGTTAGTCTGTGGATAGAGAAAGGAATACTTAATTTGTGAGACCTCCTAAGTATAGTAAATTCAATGCCAGGTCAGTACTTCTTTGTCTTGCAGTGGGTCACATTTGTTCAGCATCTAAAGTGCAAGCAGAATTACATATAATCACTGGCACCAAGGTATTTTTTTTTATTTTTTTTTGAAAGATGGAGGCGATGAACCTTGGACATTCTTTGGGCTTGAGAGTTGTTAATTGGAAGGGATGGCTCCTGATAAGGTTTTTCCAGGAAAGTTGGATTTCTGTAGCATATTTGTCCTTGGCATCTGGCATTCAAGAGGATTAGTGCTTGTTTGTTAGAATGGATTGTGTTTACAGTTTTAAAATTCTGCAGGTGACCTTTCAACACTGGTACAAACCTGTTTCACAGTTTTCGAGTGTATGCATATCCTCATTGGCTTCTGCTACTTAGTGGTTTTAAAGAAACACTACAATTTTTAATTTTTGTTATTTGCCACTGTATCATGATACATTTTATTAAATAATTGTTGTTAGTGTTAAAATTTCCCTTGTTTTTCTGTCTGGTAAGAGGGATCTTAACTTCTACTGCGTTTTATTGAGATTCTAATGCTATTCATGAATTTCATTTGATAAAGAAGGGACTACTTCATCTTACAGGCCAAGCTATGTTTGACATGGTGACTCTTAAAGGGACATTTAAAAGGTGTATTCCTCTGCCCCCCAGTTGTGAAAGAATGAAAAAAAACTTTTTATAGTTTAAATTATTTTATATCTATGTATTTTAGGTGAATGTATATGTTAAAGTAATAGAATACTTTTATTCTGTATAACAAGTTTTCTCTTTTACTAAATGTTTGCTCCAATAAACAGGACCCAAAATGTGATGAAACGAGCAATGCATTGGGCACTTACTGGGTTAAACATCTGAGAACATTGGTGTGTTAGTAAAAATGATAAGGTTTCTGTCCTCCACCCCACAGCGACCAATCAGCTCTTTTCTCTCTCTACGGTAGATATCCCCACTTAGGTAGTACAGAAGAGAGTGCTCTTTGAGCCAGGTATGAGGCTCCTGGATCTCCACAGACAGTGATTAGACCCATTTAGGAGTAGATAGGGTGACCCCCAGCATGGTGACCTGAAAACAGTAGAAAGCAAGCAAGTGGGTACCTGTGGGCATGGTACTCCATGGCGGCATTCCGGCACACTCTTTTCACATTTTGGTTCCTAAGGACTCCTCTAGTGGCTGTCACTCAGTAAGCTCAAGTGTTTCCTCTTACAAGCATAGAAACCGCAAAAGGACCAGCGCCAATTAACAGATCACATAGGGGCAGCAACTTAAACCCTTTAAGCAAAAACATAAGAAAAGGGCTGTGCCTAAAATATACACAGATTACTATAAAATGTCTAATACTAGGTAGGTCTACTAATAAATATAAAAACAATATAATAGTCCCACAAAAAGTCTAGAATAAAAGGTACCTTTATATCAGGCAAAAAGTTCTTCTCTAGAAGGGTATGTAGGTTTCAGATTTGCTAGCATAGCATAAAAAGACATCAAGCAGAAAATCTACAAAAGTGCAATATACCAATGTAACCAGAGTGTGTATAATCAGAAAACGATGGGTTACTCACGTATAGTGGAGCTATAGCCAGCTCCAGCATAGAGCATGCACTGGTATAATCCCCACTTACAGGATATGATGTCAGTGTTCTTAATGGGAAAGGTGCCAGAAACCGAAAAATGAATAAAAAGCAACAAAGTGTTCTCTGTAGGATAAAATATACTCCCAAAGGTAGAGCAGACCAACTGCTCTTTTAGTTAAGCAATGGTGGTATGATCCTCACCTAGGATTCTTTGGCGTAAATAAAAGCACTATCAATTGTGGGCAGATGACATGTCCCACAGGGCCTTCATCTGCCCACATAAAGATAGCGGCTAGGTCCAGGCCAGAAATAAAGATTTATTTAAAAAAAAAAAAAAAAAGTACAATGGGGGCGGGGGCATTTGGGCGTGACTAGAGGGACAATAAAATGTATTGCATTTGTGTGTGGGGGGTGGATGATGGAGGGGATAAAAAAAAAAAATGTCCAGTATCTAGTAGTCACACCGTTTTGTGTGTGTGTGTGTTTTTTTTTTATTTTTTTTATTTTTTTTGATGCAATCCCTCTGGATAGTCAGATGCTACAAGAGGGAGACGTGATTGTGGAGAATCATTAACGGGACACTGCAGTGCCAGGAAAACAATCCGTCCCCTCCCACCCCAAGGTTAAAACCCCTTCAGTGACTTACCTTTATCCAGCGCCGATGTCCCTGGGTCTTCCCCCGCTGACGTCAACGGGGGAGATCGAATGAGCATGCGCGGCAATGCTGCGCACACGCATTACCGTTCCCCCTAGGAAATAGAGATTTCAGCGACGCTGAAGGTCCTCACATAGCATGAGGACCTCCAGCGACGCTATAGCACTGAAAATATGTGCTACAAACCAGGAAGTGCCCTCTAGTGGCTGTCTAGTAGACCGCTACTAGAGGAGGCGTTAACCCTGCAATGTAAATATTGCAGTTTATAAAAACTGCAATATTTACAGTTGCAGGGTTAAGGGTAGTGGGAGTTGGCACCCAGACCACTCCAATGGGCAGAAGTGGTCAGGGTGCCTGGAGTGTCCCTTTAAGTCCCTGTTTATTCCTAAGGCATATATATTGTTTTACCTCTAATTGCTGTGGCAATGTTCATAATCCTCACTCAGGAGAATCCATACCTTAAGGATTGCTCTAGTAAACCACGTTTAAAGAAAAGTGTGTGTGTATATGTATATATATATTTTTTTTTTTTTGCCCCTGAAGCACCCACCCACTGCAAATTCCTGTGAAATATCTTCAGTCAGCACACAAGCCGTTATAGAAAGTTGCTGTTTATTGATAAGGGCAGAAGTAAAATTAGCAAAGAGCAATACAAGCGTAACTGGAACTAAGATCTAGATAATCCAAGATTGAAATGCCAATTCGTTTTGTGCAGAGTTGTGCTTTATTTATTTTTATTTATAAAATATTTTACCAGGAAAGATACATTGAGATTTCTCTCGTTTTCAAGTGTGTCCTGGGTCCACAAATATTGCATTGTTACATTAGGGTACAATAAAATACAGAAACAATATTAATACACAATATATACAAAATTTAACATAGAACAGGTAGGAAATATATAATCAACCATGACAGGTGCATTCTGTTTTGAGGTATGTAGAGAGGGATCTCTTAAAGGACTTTAGGCTTAGGGAAGATTTTAAATTGTGCGGGAGGTCGTTCCACAATTGCGGTGCTCTGTAGGAGAAGGAGGATCGGGCTGCTTTCTTTTTGTATTGAGGTAGACTAAGTAAAGTGTTGGTACTGGATCGGCGGTTATAGGAGGTGGGAACAGCCGAGGAAAGCATTTTGTTCAGGTAGGGTGGGCGTTTCCCAGAAAAGCTCTTAAACACTAGGCTGTAAAGATGAAGGGTGCGACAGCCAGTTTAGTTATTTTAGCATGTCACAATGGTGAGTCCTGTAATTACATTGTAGCACAAATCGGCAGAACGAGTTATACAATGTATTGAGTTTATTAATGTGGGATTGCGATGCAGATGCATATACTACATCCCCATAATCAATGATTGGCATCAGCGTTTGCAGTACAATCTTTTCCTTTACTTTAGGGATTAGGCAGGATTTGTTTCTGTACAGGACACCTAGTTTTGGCTAAAGTTTAGATGCAAGCTTTTCTATGTGCAGGCCAAAAGCTAGATTGGGGTCTAACATCATACCCAAGTATTTGAAAGAGTGGACTGTGGTCAGTGTGCCATTTGAATTTGTTTTGATAGGTGGGAATTGTGTAATTTGTGTAATTTAGGTACTGTTCCAAAGATCATTGTGACAGTTTTGTCAGTGTTCAGGAAGAGTTTGATTTTTGCAATCCACTTTTCTACCTCTGTAAACTGGTTTTGGAGCACAGCCTCCAGCTGCGGTAGATCAGAATTGTTCGCATAGATTACTGTCTCATCTGCGTACATGTGTACATTTGAGGATTTGCAAACATTAGGCAGATCATTTATAAATATGTTAATAGTAGGGGGCCGAGAATGGAACCTTGGGGAACACCACACGTGACTGGGAGAGGGAGGGAGTCGCTGTCAGAAATGGACACATATTGAGAGCGATCCGATACGTATGATCAAAACCAGTTTAGCGAACGATCACCAATACCTGAGTTTTTGAGTTTGTGCAGTAGAATGTCGTGCTCTAAAGTGTCAAAGGCCTTAGCAAAATCAAGGAAAATAGCTCCAGTTAGGTCTCCTTGTTCCATGCCAGTTTGGATGTCATTGCAAACTTTTAAGAGGGCAGTTGTAGTGGAGTGATTCTGGCGAAAATAGCTCCAGTTAGGTCTCCTTGTTCCATGCCAGTTTGGATGTCATTGCAAACTTTTAAGAGGGCAGTTGTAGTGGAGTGATTCTGGCGAAAGCCAGATTGATCAGGAGTCAGATAGTTTGATTGTTGGTAGTACTCATATGGACACATTTTTCTAAGATTTTTGACAATACCGGGAGCAATGATATTGGGCAAAAGTTAGAAACCAAAGTAGTGTCACCACTATGGATAGGCACTACTCTCGCAATTTTCCAAAGTTTGGGTATGTATCCAGACTGCAAGGATTCGTTAATTAGAGTTGCGACGGGTTTAACAATTGCCGGCGCACTGAGCTAAAACAGCATTGCTGGGATTTGATCAGGTCCGGACTGGTTTTTCATTTTTAGATTATTAAGATGTTTTTCAATGACACTAACAGGTACAGGTCTAAAAATGAACTTGTCTATATTGGGACTTTGCAAATTTAGTGGGGCCTGATCCACATTTTTAGTTTCAGGATGCGTGTCATTTATTAGCTTGGCAATCAGGGCAGTAGAGCATCCAACAAAATAATTGTTAAAGGCATTTGCTACATCTAAGGAAGTTGCAGGGTTTGGTTATCCACTTTGACAGTGGAGGGTTGGGAGTGGATTGGGGGAGTTTGTAGTTTGTTTATGACTTTCCAAAAGTTTCTAGGGTTTGAGATGTTATTGTTCAGATTTTCATAGAACTATTGGGCCTTGGCCAATTTTGTTTGTTTTGTGCGTATATTTCGCCATTGTCTATATGCACGGTGATCATTCATTCAGAGCCAGTACGCTTAAACTTTGACCACAAAGAATCCTGAAACTGGTACATTTCGATGAGGTCAGCTGTGATCCAGTTCATGTGTGCTCCTTTTACCCTCACCTTACGCAGCGGGGCATGCAAATTCCAAATTTGTAGGTGTTCAGACTGAAAGAATTCAACAGCACAGTCTAGATCTGGGATAATGTTTAATCTGTGCCATGGGAGGTTCTTGATGTCCTTTTAGAAAGGATTCAAGATTACATTTTTTGAAGGGCCTAGTTATTTTAACCTTGGGAGTGGATTTAATAGCTTTTATTTTGCGCACGCAGCACACTAAACAGTGATCACTGAAAGTGTTTGGGAGAACACCGACCTCCTGGATTATATCAGAAGTGGAGAGAATCCAATCTAGCAGGGTATGGTTATGGCTTTTAATGTTTATGCGAGTCGGGGAGGAGATTAATTGCGTTAGCTGCAAAGTCTTAAACAGTGTGCAAGAACTATTATTTTTAGGATTCAGCCAATCAATATTTTTAATTCTCCAAAGACCAACAGTTCACTTTTTGGGTTTTAAGCAATGGTTTCACTAAGGAGATGGGTTATGTCAGAAAGGGAATGCACAGGGGATCTAGGTGGGCGGTAGATTCCTGCAACAATGATTGATTTACTGCACGGGATCTCAATTGTGCCAGAAAGGAAATCAAAGGTGGCAGGAGGACTAAGGTTTTGTAAAGGGGTAAACTTTATGGAATTGTCAACATAAATAACAATGCCTCCTCCTCTCTTTGCTCTGTCATTTCTAAAACCTGAATACCCCTGTATTGCAATGGCGGTGTCTGGTATTTTAGTCGTTAACCATGATTCTGAGAGCACAATGATTTTTGGTTTGTAATGGGAACACCAGGCTTGCAGTGCATCCAGTTTAGGGAGTAAACTATGGATGTTGCAGAGCACAAAAGACAGGCTTTTTTTAGTGGGGAGATTAGGACTAGAATTAGCTGGGGGACCAGGGTTAGACGCCACATCATTTGCAAGGGCAAGTAACATAAGGAGTAGGATTTGGACATCAATTTTGTTTGGCCATATAGTGAATGGGATACTTTATAATTTTGTGAGGTGGGGGTAGGAGGGCTATTTTTTTTTTTTTTTTAGAACTCTCCACCAGCACTCGGCATATAAGTTACAGGAACAGGTATGAGGTGTGTAGTTGAAAATGAAACAGAAATCACGAAAAACCAAAAATTAAATAAAAGTATATAGTATTGGTGTGTGATATATCTATTTGTAGGGAGAGAGGGTATGTGTTCTATAGGGTTAAGAGATTGGAAGGGTGTGCTGATCAGTGTTTGCACCTGTCATTTCAGGAGATTGAAAGTTGTGTGGGAGACTATCTATAAATGAGGAAATAAGCATGGGGTGGGTGGGAGGAAAACCAGTCTTCCAGAAGGCTACCTGTTTCAAATGGTCATGGAACAGCTGATGGAACTCTGATTTCTATGCTGGACTGGGTATGTAATGATAAATAAATGATCATTGGACTCCAATTCTTGTTGTATTACTATTTTATTTCCCTCCTGTAGCACTACAGTTTGGTATGGTTGGCTTTATAGGACATTTTTTGCAAAAAAAAAATCAGTATTGCGATTTGCTCTGAGCGTCTTACCCTGTGCACTCCCATAGTCTTCCACTTTTCATAGTATTCCATCAGTGCGTTTTGTGCAGTTTGTACTAGCTGTGTGTGGTTGTCCTGGCTGTATGTGTGTACGCGCTGGCTGTATGTGATGGGTTTGCGGGCACGCGCTGGCTGTGTACACTGACCCATGCACAGCACAGATTACCAGCTGATGGTCACTAGTGGTTGTGCAGTCTGTTATCTGCTCTGCCTTCTCTTCAGTTTTTTGCCGAGATATGACGTCACACCGAGGCCAGCAGCCATTTGTTCTGAGTAGTTGGCTGCTGCTGGCCCTTGTTACGTTGTCTCTGTATTTGTTTCTGGGTGGGTAAGTCCGGCTCTGCACCTACCAGAGATACACTGCCTGTCTGGCACAAACTTCCCCAAGGCAGCCTCCATGTCTCGGGCATTGAAGGTATAAATTCTATGATCCCTGCTACTGTAAGATTTGCTGTGAAATATTAAAATTGTATGCTTAAGAAACACCCCCACGCTGACATTTCCCTCTCTGAGAACATTGTGTGTTATTTAAAAATAATCTTTAAATTGCAGATTTAAAATAATGAGCTGTCACTTAAAGAAGAAATAAAATAGTTGTTTAATTGATTAGGTCTTGATAGATCAGAACCGCTTTCAGCAGCAATTCCATTTAAAAGGATAACTCCAGAGGAAGTATAAAGATCCTTATTTGAATACTTTAAACAATGTTCCAATAAAGAAACTATGCAGTGTTTAAGCAAGATGAATAATGCAGGAGTTGTGCAGGATATATTCAGGATGCAATTTAAATACAGGTATAAATGGAAGCACAGTGAACTGATTTATGAATTGGCTGAGATCACCCCTTGGAAGGATCAGACTGAATGAATTGAACAAAGTATCAATTCCTTGTATAACAAAAGAACTTAGCTTGTTGGAGGAGGTTGGTGACTAGTGTGAGTCCTTTCCGTGTTCAGGGAATATAGTCAGAGTGCGTTCCGTGTCCAGGGAGTATAGAGTTCAGCAAGCTCGGTTTGGAAGTTTAGAAGTTTGGTACACAGCTTGATAGGTAGCTCAGACAGCACTTTCGGAGTACCTGCAGCTTCCTTTTAACACTGGAGCGTGTGATGTCAGATGCATGGGCTGGGGCGGATCGTCATAAACCCGGAAGTGACTGCAGGTGAGATTGCTTTTCGCTAATCATGACACAAACTTCCGCTTCCGTTGTCCCTATTAGGGTGAATTTCTTGATAGTGGTAATGCTTCAGATATATACTGATCAGCCACCACCATAAAAAATCTGCCTGATATTGTGTAGGTAATGCTACCCAACAGCTGTGTAGCAACGAAGCATGGACTTCACAAGACCTTTTAACGTGTCCTGTGGTATCTGTCACTAATACTGTAGCAGCAGATCCCTTAAATCCTTAAAGTTCTGAGGTGGGCCTCCATAGTTTAGATTTGTTGTTCCAGGACATCCCACAGATACTCAATCTGGAATTTGGAAGCCAAAGTAACACCTTGAACTCTGTCATGTTCCTCAAACTATTCCTGAAATTATTTTTTTCAGTGTGGCAGGGTGCAGGGCCATCAGGGAACACCATTGCGGTGAAGGAGTATACATAGTCTGCAGCAATCTCTAGGTAGGCATTACGTGTCATAGTAATTGCCAGGACCAAAAGTTTCCCAGCAGAATATTTCTCATAGTATAACATTGCCTTCACAAGCCTGCCTTCTTCCCCTGGTGCATCCTGCGGAAATCTCATATTCATCAGACCAGGCAACCTTCTTTCATTGGACAAGAAAAACGAAAAAAGGGAACAGGCTGTGTCAAATATGAATGTTGATTAAACAAGTGTATGAACACAATATATCAATGTAAAATTTAAATTCGATTTCACTTATGGAAGTGGTGCGAGATCAGCTGTGCTCTAGCTGATCTCGGGGTATAGAATTCTGACGGAGGCGCCGCGCAATCAGCTGATCCCCTAATCTGAAGGTGTACCGCGCGGCACACCTTCCAGATATAGAAATCTGATGGGTGTACTGCGAATGCTACATCAATCAGATTTCTATACAACAGGTTTCATGGTGTACTAACACAATGGAAATAGGGAAGATGCAGAGTTATGAGATGGGGGTGACACACAGGGGAAGGGGTTGCTAATGTTGGTTATATACTGGGGATGGGGATTTATGGGAGTGGGTGACACACAGGGAATGGGTAGGTTAATGTGGGTTATACATTAGAGATGGGGAGGTTAATGGGGGTTAAATACTGGGGATCAGGGCCGCCACCAGAAATTTTGGGGCCCCTAACTGAGCTCGCCTCCAAGTCCCGCCCACAGGAATACACACACAGACACAAACACATTCACTGATACAAAAGGACACAGATACACATGCACACTGATACATACTAACAGACACACATACTGATACGCATATAGGCATACATACTGACACACATATACAGACACATACTAACATACATACAGACACATACATTTATACTGGCATACAGACACTGACATCTATACATACATACATACATACACACACACATTCATAATGACATGCAGACATACATACACTGACATTCATACTAACATAATGACATACAGACATACATACATGCATATAGACATACAGACATTCATACATACACCTACATAGACATGCAGAGCTCATTTTCCAGCCACTCTCCTGTCTCTTTTTAACCCCTTAGCGACCGAGGACGGTTCAGGACCGTCATCGGCATTTTTGCCTTGAGGACCGATGACGGTCCTGAACCGTCCTAACGGTCTGGGGGTACTTACCTGATCGCCGTCGTTCCCCCGGCGGCGATCAGCGTGGCTCCGGTTGTGGGGAGACTGCCTGCAGCCCAGACAGTCTCCCCACACTGATTTAGGACCCCTGTGGCCATGTGATCGCTTAACACAGCGATCACATGGTCACAATAGGTGTCCATGTGTCTGCCTGCAGGGGGACTGCCGGTGCTGACAGGCAGTCTCCCTGCTAGTGTAAAATCAAAAAATAAATTAAAGTTAATGTTAATAAAAAAAATTATAATAATTATATAGGTGTATATATGATATATAGACCTATATTATATCTATATAATATAGGTCTATATATGATATATATAATGCCATACTAAGAGTATTTTTATATTAATATGTACTTTTATTAATATAAAAATACACTTATAATTAAATTACACACTTGTATATATAATAACTATATATATTGTGTATATATATATATATATATTATTATAAAATATAAATAATAAGTAATTTAAATTAAATATTTTTTTTTTAAATAATAAAAATTAAAAAAAAAATTATATATCTATATGAAATTTTATTCTAACTGTATTTTAAAATTAATATATATTTATATCAAAATACACTTAGAATGAATTTGTATATATATCTATGTATATATAAATAAATAAAAATACGAAATATACATATGTCCATATACAAAATTACATAAATAATTATATAAATATACACGTAGACTTAAACTATATAAATATGCATATATATTTAAATTCTATGTGCATATTTATGTAATATTTTTACATAATTCAGTAATTTTATTGATTGCAATTTGAGGGACCTGCCTGCCAACCCAGGCCGAAATTCCAGAGAATTTAATTTGCTAGCACTGTATTTTACCCTGTAACGTTCTACGACACCCTAAAACCTGTACATGGGGGGTACTGTTTTACTCGGGAGACTTCGCTGAACACAAATATTGGTGATTCAAAACAGTAAAACATATCACAGCGATGATATTGTCAGTGAAAGTTACTTTTTTTGCATTTTTCACACACAAACAGCACTTTTACTGATGATATAATTGTTGTGATACGTTTTCAGTTTTTAAACACTAATATTTGTGTTCAGCTATGTCTCCCGAGTAAAACAGTACCCCCCATGTACAGGTTTTATAGCATTTTTGAAAGTTACAAGGTCAAATATATGGGTCAAATATTTTTACATTGAAAATGGCCAGGTTGGTTACGTTGCCTTTGAGAGCGTATGGTAGCCCAGGAATGAGAATTACCCCCATGATGGCATACCATTTGCAAAAGAAGACAACCCAAGGTATTGCAAATGAGGTATGTCCAGTCTTTTTTAGTAACCACTTGGTCACAAACACTGGCCAAAATTAGCGTTCAATTTAGTTTTTTTACTTTTTTTACACACAAACAAATATGAATTCTTACTTTGGCCAGTGTTTTCGACTAAGTGGCTACTAAAAAAGACTGGACATACCCCATATTGAATACCCTGGGTTGTCAACTTTAAAAAAAATATGTACATGTGGGGTGTTATTCAGAGATTTATGACAGATAATAGTGTTACAATGTCACTATTGATAAATTTTAAAAATTTATGTTTTGAAACCGCAATATTCTACTTGTACCTATAGCCCTATAACATGCAAAAAAAAGCATGTAAACACGGGGTATTTTTAAACTCAGGACAAAATTTTGAATCTATTTAGCAGTTTTTTTAATTCGCTTTTGTAGATGAGTAAAAGCTTTTTCAAGTAAAAGTCAAAAACATGTATTTTTTTCAATTTTTCATCATATTTTTTTATTTTTTTTAAAATTAAAATACAAGAGATTATATAAATAATGGTATGTAAAGAAAGCCCCTTTTGTCCTGAAAAAAAAAATATATAATTTGTATGGGAACAGTAAATGAGAAAGCGGAAAATTACAGCCAAACACAAACACCAAAAAAGTGTAAAAATATGCCTGGTCGCAAATGTACAACATCGCAAAAACAGTCCAGTCCTTAAGGGGTTAAAGGGGCCCGGTCACGCTATACCACGGCCACAGCGATGACGGGGCCCCTCAAGATATAGGGCCCATCCGGTGGCCCTAAGTGCATGGGCCACCCGATAGGCCCCATCAGTGTGTTATGGTTGTCACCCACTGATGGCAGCCCTGCTGGGGATGGTGGGGTTAAGGGTTTGACAGACAGATGATGTGGGGTTGTGGAGTGACAGGGGATCACCATCATTAACCCCCCCCCCCCCCATCCCTGTGTGTCACACCATAACCCCCCCATCCCCAGCATATAACCCACATTAACTCCTCCCTCCCCAGTATATAACCATTCTATATCTGAAGGATGTGCCTTGTGCATGCGCGGTACACCCTTCACTAACGTTGATGCGGGTGCACTGGAAGTGACATCCGTATAGAAATCTGATGCATATAGATTTGACACAGGTGTTCTATCAGAAAAGTATATCTATTACATTTTTATGTGGACGTCACTTCCGCAACCTCTGACGCGGGCTTATCTGGTGTACCGCACATGCACGCGTCACATCCTTCAGATATAAAATGGTTAATGAGGGTTATATACTGGGGATGGAGGGGTTTATGGGGGTGGGTGACACACAGGGAGGGTTTTTTTTTTAAATTTTTTTTTTTTTTTAGTTCTTTATTTTTGATAGTGCATAGCATAACAATTGGCTAAATAGTGACATTCCACAAGAGTGTGAATATTGAGTAGGACATGTCAGCATACAGCACTTTTTATAGTATTTGGAAAAATAGGTTTAGGGAAGAGTAGAATACATGTCAGCAGAAGATTGTAGGTGAAAAACCTCAAAACGTACGTAGTGACATGAGAATGAGCTATTAATACCACTGGGTTAGTGAGCAAGTAAATAAGAAAAATATAGATTTGGGAGATTAGTAGTACAGTGCAGAAAGTCTGTCCCCTCAGATGATGCTCACAGACGGAGGGCTATGGACGTCAGTAGTTGAGAGTTTATGGAGGCATGGGGAGGCTCCCTTGCAGCTCGATGTGTCGGTGAGAGCCCGACAGTTGGACCTTCGTGGCTCATGCCGCTGTCCCTGCCGAGGGGAAATCCATTTACTACGCAGGCGACACAGTGTTGTTTGTGTTTTTGGGGTCCGTGCGAGGTTGTGACCCTGGGCCGCCATGGTCGGTGCGTTGTGAGTGTGTGTCTGTCGCGGTCTTCGAGCTCTTCTCACCTCCCTGCGGCGTTTGTTGCAGTCTCCTGCGCCTCCTTCTCAGAGTAGTCCAGCGTTGGCCGCAGGGGTGATGGCTGGTTACTGGGCGTCGGGACGTTGGTCAGCTCCCAGGTACACTGATGGGAGTAGCGGTGGGTATCCGATCCCTCAGCTTCGCACAGAATTGAGCACATAGCTTGTCAAAGGCTTGAAGTAGCGGGTCAGCTTGGGTGGGCCGTCCCGAGTATCTTGGTTCTGTAGGCCTCAACTGTCTATGGCACTGTGCAACGCCGTTTGCAGTTGTTAGTCACACAAGGGTACCAGTGGGGACCAGGATAACCCCCACCGGGGCAGGGGGGGAGGGGGACAGAGCTCTTAAGCCGATGCTTGGTAGTCGGGGGCAGAGGAGCGACCGCCTCCTCCACCTCGAGTGTGCCAGAAGGCTGCAGCTGGAGCCTTACATGAGTTATGCCTGTCCCAATCAAGCACTTTCAGGCTCAACTTGTGCCCAGGTGCCTCACGAAGAAGGTAAGCAGGTTTGTGCCAACAGTCTGCTAGTAGAAGTCAGATTTTCAGCTAAGTTTAAGGATTTCCCTTAGGAGCTTCGGCAATGTGCGACCATCTTGGGCTGCGATGAGGCACCACCCCCAGGGAGGGGGTTAATGGGGATGGGTGACACACAGGGAGGGGGTTAATGGGGGTGGGTTATTCACCTGGAATGGGTGGGTGACACACAGGGGGTTTGAGGGTTAATGATGGTGATCCCCTGACTGTCACACCACAACCCCACATAATCTTTGTCACCCAATTAACTCACTAATCCCCAGTGTGTCACCCCATTAACCCTTCAATCCCCAGTATATAACCCTCATTAACCTCCCCATCCCTAGTGTGTCACCACCATCCCATAACCCTGCATCTTCACTATTTCCACTGTTTTAGTACACAGTGAAACCTGTTGTATAGAAATCTGATTGATGTACCGCTCGCATTCTCAGTACACCCATCAGATTTCTATATCTGGAATGTGCACCGTACACCTTCAGATTAGAGGAGCAGCTGCTCCTGCGTCATTGGAGGATGTGCGCAGCGCCTCCGTCAGAATTCTTTACCCTGAGATCAGCTAGTGCGCGCACCGGAAGTGACGTCCGTATTGAATTCTGATAAGTATACTTATCTTATAGAACACCGGGATTTTTCTGTAGAATAAAGCATGGTCAATGCAGATGCAATTGTTGGTTATAGTTTTACTTTAGACCAAAATACATTTTCTGGATTGCTGATTTTTCCTTATTCATTGATTTGCCTACATTTTCCAACTTGCATAAGGGGGAGGGAGGGGGGGGGGTACAGAAGTAAAGAGGGGTGGGGGTTGGGGTGCTATCTCATTATCTATTTGTTGCATATAATTCGGGTGTGTTGTGATTCCCTTTCCCTTGTATCTTTTCTTACCCCCTTTGGGGGGGGCTGTATGTCGTGCGGTTTTCGGTCAGGGGGGAGTGTTAGTCGTGCGGGTGGTCCGTATGAGCCTGCTAGGGCTGTTGTGGAGGTCTCTGTATGGGTACTGTCCTCTCGTCGAGTCTGTAGTTTAAAGTTTTAGATCTGCAGGTTTGGGTGGGGTCCTGTGTGGGGAAAGGTTGTGTCCTCGAGTGTAGTCATGTTTTTATTTTCGAGCTGTCTGTTCTTCCCTTTCTTGCTAACTGTTTGCTATGTACCATTTTGGTGTGGGCTTGGGTGGGTCTTTATGGTTAGAATTGGGTTTTTGCCTGTTCTGTCAGAGGTGGTCGGGGGTATTATATTGGGGGGTGGGGGTCTGTGTGTGGTGTCTTGGTTCTCCTTCTCGTGTGGTGCTTTTTTCCCCCTTTTCCTTTCCCTCTCTTCGTGGTGTGTTGCCAGTTGAAGTGGGGTCTTGTGTTGACTTTGGTCAGGGGTGTTTGCGTGTCTAGTGCAGTCCTGTTGTCGTTGTGTGGTTAGGGTTGGGTTGTGGGGGGGAAGTGAGGGAGGAGAGAGAGAGAGGGAAAAAAAAAAAAAGGAGGTGGGGTGGCGTCTCATGTGGGTCGGCGAGGTGTCCATTTGGGGGAGAGTGTGGTGGGCTGGTGTACCCCAAGCGGGATTGTTTTCTTTGTGTGGCTTGCTTAGTGTGTGCTAGCGAAGGTTGGGAATTCGTACCCATATTTTGTGGTAGTGTCGTGCACTATTGCGGACAGTTCGTCCATTTTAATTGTGTCTACTATTTTTCGTTTAATTATTTCCATGGTCGGTGTTTCGGTGCTGCCCCATTTTTCAGCTATTGCCCTCCTGATCGCTAAAGCTATTTTTGCTGTCATTTTGTTTTGTGCTCTGGGTATATCTGCATGTGGTTTCGATAGCAGCCAAATCCAGGGGTTAAGTGGGATGTCTGTGTGTAGGATTCTAGAGACCATGGTCGCTACTTGTTGCCAGATCTGTTTAATTGGGGTTCACTCCCACCATTGAAATGTATATTTATTTTTCATTCTCACTTATTTATTTTTTGTTCTTTATATATCTGACACATTAAAAAGCTTCATGGCTGGCATGCAATTTTGACAATCGCTTCAATAATCGTACTGTGTCCCACCCTTTGAATTCAAATAATACATTCCTGCATGTCTTAATGATACCACGATGCAGTAGCTAAAGGAGATTTTAGGTGAACCGTAATCCTAAAACACACTATCTGGACACATGACATGTACAGCGAGTCTATTATTATCAAACAGGATATGTTACTAGTCAAATGGTTGCTGTGGAAACAGATTTTTAAACAGGACAACCTTAAAAAGCCTTTGTTATTCTATTGCATGTGGTACGACAAATCCCTATTCGGAGAGCTAAACCTAACCCTTTGAGGCTTGGGTTGATGTCTCCTAAAAACAAGCCTTTGGCCGATGTTTACAATTATTAATTATCTTACCCATCCCTGGTTTTACAGCATGGACTATTTACTGCTGATCAAATAGATGTCCTGGAATTTGAGTATGGGGAACATGAAGCTCCTTCAAATAGCTAGAGCACATGATTAACTGGATCTCAGATTGCCATTAGAACAAACACTTAAGCACTTTCATTGCCAGAGGAAGGAATTGCTGTTTCTGCAATCTTTTTCAATGTTATTATTAATTTGACTGCTTATATGTGGTTGAAGCCTAGCCTCTGTTAAAGAGATACTGTCTTGACAAAACTGGTCTTGTAGACGCCCTAATTCTTTTATAATATATAGTTCAGAGTTTGACAAATTTCTTTTGAATTCTAGGAGCCAGCTAAAAAAGTTAGCCAGTTATTTATAACCTAATTAAGTTTAATTTTCAACATGAAAAATGCTGTTCTTAAAGAAACATTATAGTCACCAGAACCACTGTAGCTTAATGTTGTTGTTCTGATATCTATAGTCTGTCACTGCAGGCTTTTCAGTGTAAACACTGCCTTTTTAGGGAAAAGACCGTATTTATATTGCTGCCTAGTAACCCCCCTCGTGGCAGTCACTTGGACAGTGTGCAGCACCTACATTCAGCGTCTCCACGCTCTGCATGGAGGCACTGAACGTTCCCATACAGATGCACTAATTGAATGTATCTCTATGAGCGCTGTGCATGGGAAATATCTCTCCAATGATAAAGCATTGGCTTAGCTGAGATCATAAATACTGATGATCTCAGCCATGGAGCTGGGACCAACTGTGGCAGAACCGTCAAGGCGTGGGGAAAAATGTGAGTAAACACCTGCTCATATGATTGGACACATACCTTGACATATGTATTTTAATTGAAATCCACCCAGCCTCACAACCTTTAGGAGAGCTGGAGTGCATCTTTCCCTGAGGTCTAGTGGGACTGCTCTCTGACCTTCATGCAGTTCCTCTCTGTTCCCCTGTGCGCTGTCTGTAGTGATGCCAGAGGTGGAGTGAAGTCATATTCTGGATCCTGGTATCGCTAAACGGCATGCCAGGGAGCAGAGAAGAACTGCAGAAATGAAGTTACATCTCCCTCCCTCGCTCGCCACCTCAGCCAGGCGGCCGCAATGCTGCCTGAGGCGTGTGGCTTAATTGCTCCTATCGGGTGGCTGCCTTAGCTAATGGAATGAGAGATCCCAGAAACCAGGGTGAATTTTCTAGTCGCCACGGCGATTGCCTGGGATTTATCGAGCCCTGGCATAGATAAAATGTATGTAGACATTTAAAAGACCTTTTGAAGGTGACTTCTCCACTTCAGGTCTGGTGACCACAGGATGGTGTAAAAAATAGTTATAATTACCTGAACCTGACCATTAGAGCATCACCATCTTCTGAGTATAGTCTTCAGCTACCAAAGCTTTACCTTCCAGGGCTGCGTCAAGAGGACAATACAGAGGTCTATGGAGGATCCTGCAGGAACCTCCATAGATTGCATCTTGCGATGCCTTACTCCAATAATTAACACAAGTTGACAGTGGAGCTCTACATTTTGTCACCTGTAGGCTTGCTCATAAGACAGTAGTCCCTACTTTTGTCTTGTGATGTCTTTGGATTGTGTTGGAATTTAAATTAAATTCAGTAAATATCAGTATTTCATTAGGATTATGTCCTTATCATTGGTTATGCAATTTTCAAGACAATTCACAACAAATGTAACCTTTTTAATGTTGTGTTTTTAAATGTAATTTATAATGTGTGCTAATGGTTTGTGTCTTATTAAAGATTTCTTATATGTAGATGATTGTCTTAAAATATAAAGTTTTGTTTTATATTTTGTGCCATTATTCTATAATCTTGTTTTCAAACATGTATTTTCTCCACATAAACCTAGAAAATGTGTAGTATTGTCTCCTCTCTTGCAATTATTTAGCTTGGAGAGTGTGAAATTTAGGTGATACAAAGCAGTTGTGCAGGGTCTTAAATCAGATAGTGTTGAGAAAAATTGTGTATTTTTTTTATTTTATTTTTTTCCCCTTCAGCCTTGGGCTTGGCAATTTATCAGCAGGTTTTTTTGGGTTCTGTTATTTTTCTGATAACGAATAGTCTGTGTTGAGCTGCATGTCCAATGTTTCATGCGCTCAACAAGTCTTTGCTAGCTCTCCTGTTACTGGGCCAACTTTCTATAGCATTTTGCAACCTACAAAATATTGTCTGAGTGAATTGATTTATTCTTTACACTTTTGTAGTCTTCTCCCAGAGTAATTTATAACCGTTTCACAACTTACTTGCAGGAGCAATTGGCTAGCTAAGCAGGGCCGTGCTCATCAGACTATCAGACAAACGATCTCGGCTTATGTGAGGTCCTTAATTATCCCTGCTTGGCTTGGTAAAGACATTCAGGTTCTCCTGCAGGAGAAGACCTGATACAGCACAGGTGTCCAAGACACTCATGTAAGTTGCCAAATTGTTCTGAAATGGATTGACCGATTATTCTCGTAGGACTCAAGAGCACTAAGGAAACTGAAATAATACAGGGCTTGACAAATTCATTTGGAATCTAGGAGCCAGCTAAAAATCTCCTAAAAAATTTAGGAAAAAAAAAAAAAGAAACTAGCAAAGTTTCATCTTCAACTACTAAACTACAATTCTTAAAGGGACACTATAATCACCAGAACCACTACAGATCTAATGTAGCAATTCTGGTGTCTATATCCTGTACCTGTAGGCTTTTTCTGACGCCAACTAGAGGTGATCCCAAGTCCAGTGCTGCACAGTTCAGCGTCTCCACCCTGCTGCATGGAGGCACTGAATGTTCCTCACAGATGCATTGATTCAATGCATCTCTACGAGGAGATGCTGATTGGAGTTGCTCATCATTTTGTCACGTATGGGCAGTAGCCTTCCAATGTTTTCTATGGCTTGGCTAAGATCAAGCCTGATCATCTCAACTGGGGAGTGGGACCCAGCCACAGTGAGACCTGTATGGGGTGGGGGGAAAAGGTGAGTAAAAACATCTTTCCCATGCGATCAGAGGCAGCCAGTAACCCAAACACACACACAATCACTGACCGACACACACTCAAGCTCTTACACTGGTTAGTGCAATTTAGTGATGTGGGGACTGGATTGACTTCACATTTTGGCTCCTGGCATCTAAGCATGGCGCATGAGAGAGCAGAGCAAGAACTGCACAAAGATTTGTTTCCTCGCCGTCCGGTTCCACCCTCCCTCGGCCGTCCTCTTCTACGCTCCTTTAGATTGACAAACCCCCAGGTGCCAGGACAAAATTCCTAGTTGACTTGGCATCTGGGATTAGTCGACCCCTGAAATAATGTATATGATTTCACTCAGACAATAGTTTGTAGGTTGCTGTTTGTAGGATTGCTGTAAGGAGTTGGTCCAATAACAGGAGTGCAATTGGGCCTTGGTCATCATGATGCTGGGAAATTAATGCTTTTTGGTTTTGTCTTGTAGATCAAGTGATTGCATTGTGTGGAAATCTTGAAGTCCTGGGTAACTGGAATCCACAAAAAGCTGTTATATTAAAAAAGACTGATAATGACAGGTAAGTCAATTTAATATAGAGCGTGGTGTGTGTGTGTATTTTATTTATTATAATTACCCCCCCCCCCCTTTTTTTTATTATTATTAAAGACTTGACTAATCTCTAGTTTGTCTACTGTAGGAGCCAGCTAAAAAAGTTAGGAGCCATTTTTATTTTTTCTCAATGACAAATATACAGTTCTTAAAGGGACACTATAGTCACCAGAACCACTACTGCTTAATGTAGTGATGATGGTGTCTATATAAACCTTCACCGTAGGCTTTTCAGAAAAAAAGTTTACATTGCTGCCTCATAAAGCCATGCTGGCAAGTGACATTGTCGTTGATTTAAAATTAGCATCCCAGAACTTTTGTTCAATATTGTGAATTTTTTAAAGCTCATGTTCTAATGTAGACGAATGGGGATGTTCATAGCACATTTTTACGTATTCTGGTTTTTGTTTTTGTTTTTTTGCAACAGTGACATCTGGAAAACCGTTGTTGCCCTTCCAAGAGAAATTCAAGTGAAATATAGATACTTCATAGGTTACTTTCTGGATCCAAAGGTACGTTTATCTATTCCTTCAAAAAGAGATTTCTTTCTAAATCCAGTCACAAGGAGCACTTGCCACTACTGGCTGCTAATCAAATTAATTAAAATGGAAAACCTTCATTAGTACGAAGATGATTTCTCCAAAGCTGTTAGTTAACCTACTTGTTACGATCTTTTATTCTATCATCTGCCAGCTAAAACATATTTGACTGAATGATATTTTATAAAAATGTTGAGTATAGGTAAAAGTCCAGTAAGTCATGCACACAAGTTAAAAGTAATTTGAGCACCTGTGGATGGTTGGTGGTCCGCCATCCACCAGGAATAGTATAAACGTAGAAGTCCACAGGCATCACAGTGTAGTGTGAAGGTACATACCCCCGTTTGGCCACATTGGCTGAGATCATCAAGCTTCATGATCTCAGCCAATCCAATGCTTTTGGAGGGCTCTTGTGTATACGCAGCAAAATGTTGCATCTCTGAGGAGTGTTCAGTGCACTTACACAGGAAGCACCTCTGGTGGCTGTCTGAGTGACTGCCACTAGAAGTGTTACTAGGCAGTGATGTAAACACTGCCTATTCTCTGAAAATGCAGTGTTTACATTAGTGCCTGCAGGGACATTACGCTGTAGTGGTTCTGTATTGAATTAGTAAACCTTGATTACATGTGCAGTTGTTTTACATTCATGATGTAGCAGCATATTTGGGTTTAGGCCATGTTTAGACTTCACACTCTAGTATGGACACTCTGTGAATTAAATGCCTTTCTCTTTCCGATCCAGAATGTTTTGCATACTTCTCCACCTTCATTCTCTGTGCCAACCACATCCTTATTACAAAAATATTAAAGCATCACTGGCAAAATACATTAATTTTTTTTCTTTGTTGTTGAAGTGTTTTTGTCCTCCTCCATTTCCCATTTTGTAAAATGGTCAATTATATGTACATGTGTTAAATATATAAGCAAATGTCAAGTTTGACTTCAACTATTATTCTGTGAAACAGGTCAGCTAATCTTACTGCTGTGAAGATAAATCGCTTGTCATACCAGTAGATTTTGCTTAGAGAACTTTTTTTTTTAACTTTTCAACTAACAATTATTCAACCAGTGCTTTAATGATTTATAAGTGGATACCTATGTTCTGACACAGGATATGTCCTCTCTAACTTTACGTCATAAGTTCTGCATTTGTATTGTTCTATTTCACCTGGTCACTCTGTTTCCTAGCAGAGTTTTCCAAAAAGTGTGGAGTTGTTTACTGAAACACAGAATTGACCTGTTCTCGGCAATTAAGCCTAGATTTAAAGGTGATCAAAGTAACTGAAATGTTGTTTCCTGAATGGTTACAGTGACTTTCTAACCAAGCATTTAATCTAAGTGAAGAAAAGGGTAAAATAGTTTGACTATATCAATGCAGACATTTAACACTTTTAAATTGCAGAATACCAGTGGTCCATGCCAAGTCATAGTCCACAAGTGGGAGACCCATCCACAGCCACGATCAATAAGATCCTTAGGTATGGGAAACTTATCTACAGACGTAAACACCTATATATATTTTATTCCCCCCTGCTATCTCTTACACACAAATTACCCCTCTTGATTCCCTGAGTGGTGTGCTAAGCATTGCATACCATTCTGGCATTTCTGTGACTATGCTATGTGATATTTTTTTTTTATTATTATTTATTTATTTTTTTATGTTTTTTTGAAATAAGTTTCCAACTCAGGTTACAAGCACTGTGCTGCTGCTTGGCTATATTTTTTTTTATAGATCTATATATCTATATCTCAGTGTTACACACCAGGCAAGCCATAAAACTTGCTTTTACCACAGAAATCTTACTTTAATAGTGCTCTCACTACTGCAAGGGATTCTGGGTAGGTGTATGCAAATGAGCTCAATAAAGAACCATATTATGAGGCAAAAATGTGGTTCTTTGTTGACTGCATTAACTATCCACTTATTTCAGGTAGAAGGGGTTTTCATCCACACTTAATGGTTGCAGTACTTTTTACCCTGCATTGGAAAACATTGCAACTAAACACCCCTCTAGTGGCAGTCTTCCTGACTTGAAATGCTGCTGAAGAGCTAAGGAAGTACTCCGTTATCCCACCCTTTCCTTTTCTTCCCATGCTAGTCAATGGTAACCAGACCAATAACTAGTCCTATGGCATATAGCCAACAATAATTGAATACATTTTCTCAAATCTCTAAATATATGTAGGCAAATTAGGGAATTGCATATTTTTTTTATCTTTGGTACAATTCTGAATTTTTTTAACTATTCTGCCCATCTTCTAAAACATGGGTGTCTACAACACCCAGATGTTTTTGCAATGCAGTTTCCATGATTCTCTGAAGTCCTAGGTTTGCAGTGTGTTTTATGTCCATTGTGTCCAAAAACTCCTCCTCTATTCTCCCCCCTCCAAAAAAAAAAAACAACCCCTGCAAAGCCTGTTGCAACTTTAAAAGGAATAAAAATGCATTTAGATCCTATGAAAAAATAAAGCTTTGATAAAGGAAGCTTCCACACCCTGCATCGAGCTGTAAGTCAGCCCGATTGGCTGAGTTGTCCCAGCCAGCAACATTACTCTTATTCATTGATGGTATTAAAAAAATGAATAGGGCAATGTGCAGGCTGACGTTGACTGAGCATTGGGGAAAATTCCTACACAATTACTAGTGCATAGGTTATCCATTGTTGACCTAGATGGTATATTTAAGTGTGTTAAGGTTTTATGTGTGCTTATAGATTTTACTTTCTTTCCTTTTCCAGACCGTGAAGGTCTCATTGACGATGGAGAATTTGGAATTCACAGTAAGTAACAAGCCCTTGTCTGTGTTTACCATTTAATCATTACTCATTAATGTTTCTGCATCACTTGGCTGGTTTCCTTGAAAATCTATTGTTCAGTATGCTGAAACAATCTTTATTTTAGGGTATGTCTGTTTGGCCTCTGGAATATGAGCATAAAATAATTTCATTGCAACCCTGTTCTTTGTATATTATGTTTAAGAAGTGAACAGATACTTTCAGGGTTCTCAACATTTAGGCCGAAATAGCAGAATTAGTAAAATTCTCCAAGAACAAACACCAGGGATGTTGGTCTAGCTGACCAGGGTCATGCCAGTGGCAATATCTCCCCCAGCTGGACTGGCCTCCAGAAGGACTGTCTTGACAAAGATGCTATTTAGATTTTAGACCAGTTTTCATTTAAAAAAGAAAAAAAAATTTTTCCTTAGCACTATAGGGCTAATAGGTCCCTCAGCCACTTACCTGAATCCAACACTGATGTCCCTTGACGTTGGGTCAAGCTCCACCCATGCTCGTCCCCCCCGTCAGCTGGCGGGGGAGACCTAATGCGCATGCGCGGCAATAGCCATGCGCGCATTAGACCTCCCCATAGGAAAGCATTATACAATGATTTCCTATGGGGAAAATCTGACGCTAGAAGTCTGTGAGGTTGTCCAGCGTCAGATAACAGGACAAAAAGTAAGTTTAGATTCCGGAAGCCTTCTAGTGGCAGTCTGTTAGACAGCCACAGAGGGCAGACTTAGAGCTGCAATGTAAACATTGCATTTCTCTGGAACTGCAATGTTTTACATTGCAGCACTAAGTAAAAAAGGGACACTGCACCCAGACTACTTCAATTAGCTGAAGTGGTCTGGGTACCTACAGTGTGTGTCCTTTTAAGGTCCCCAGGGCTAGGGAATAGTGCAGGTCTGAAAACTGCTACTGTATTCCCTGAACAAACCAGACAGGACACACAGTTTAAAACAGAACTTTGGCACAATATATTTTAGTTTGAAGCTTTTGCTGACTTATCCTCAAGCATGTGGTGAAAACCATATAACTATAAACAAACAAATTGAAAAACAAACATCATACTGCATCAAATCTATAATATATTCACAGCTTGCACAACATAGAAACAGCTGTAACTGGTTAGCTGTTTGCAATTTCCTAACTTGCATATTGAAATTCTACAAATCAGTGTATTTGAGATTGATCAGTAGAGCGTGCTGGAGAATATTCACAAGCTCAGTTTCCAGTTTGAGTATTTTGGCCATTTATGTGAAATTCACTTCATTCCTGTCCGTTTTCAGTTTAGTGATTAACTTTCTGAATCCCTAAACACCAAATGTTTGTGATTTCAGTTATAATTACAACTTGATTATTCCAACCTAAATTTAGGAATTCAGGTTTTCAGTTTTAGTGAATAAATTCCAATAAATGTCAAGTGTGATAAGTCAATCTTTCCACTATCTTTTATTCCTTTGCCTATTTTGCTGATGGTTATAGCACTGATTATTCACACACACAAAAAAAAAAGTTGTCATTCGTAAAAGAAAGTGTTCGCACATTAAAAGATTGTTATTATACATAAAATAAGAAGGAAGTCTGAAAACTGCTTGTCAGAAAGCCGGCTTGTCTTACCATAGTGAAAATAATTGTCTGAAAACACCACAGTGTATTGGAAGCAACAAATCTGAAGCAAAATTGAATGGGAAAAGAATCTGAACCATAATACTGATGTGCATGAGACTAGGGCTGTATAAACAAAGGGATTTAAACACTATAGATTGTAAGCTTGTTTGAGCAGGGTCCTCTTCAACTTATCGTTCCTGTAAGTTTTCTTGTAAATGTCCTATTTATAGTTAAATTCCCCACTCCTATAATATTGTATAGCGCTACGGAATCTGTTGGTACTATATAAATGGCAATAACACTAACTCCGAAATGGCAAAGAATTGAGCAGTGAGACTGCAGGGGCATGATCTATACACCTAAACTGCTTCATTAGGCTAAAGTTGTCTTGGTTTTGCAGAAAAGAAAAAATACCATTCATAATTAAAACTCTAGAAATTTATATTTTAAATGACCAGACACCGGTCATCCATACAACAATGATATCTTCACATGTAAACTTATGGCTTTATTAATATCGTATGATGTTAGGCTATGAATAAACAAATGTTCTAATACACATCTAATATTTATTAGCTGTACTGAAAGGTCATAATCCCTAACCTCAGGTAAAGGGGGTAACCTTTTACAGAGAAATTGCTAACTAATGTTAGACTACAATTGAATATAATGCGTTTCATGAGTAAACATAAAAAATATTGTTCTTAATAATACCTCCAAAGTGTGTGTGTGGGGAGAGGCGTGTGGGGTAATCAATCGGTCTGAGAGGATGATGATTGTCATTACTGTATAAAATTAAAGTAAAATAGTAGGTCATGAAAAAGAAAACTTGTGGTGATCAAATTGAGCCAATCAAAGTAGGCAAACCGTTTGAGCCTTTTTGTAAATATTCCAAATATTCACCTTCCCTACTGAAACAGTATTAAAACTAACCTAATTTGCCATGGAATGTTTTGAACTTTCAGAATGGTCATATAAACTGCACTTCGTCCTCGTACATTATCTTCATCTCCCACTTCCATTGTAAGCTTTTCCGTGAGGGTAGACCATTTTCGATATAGTCCACATCTGCAGTGCTTCTAGAAAATAACATAATGCTCCAACACATTTAACAAGTTTCATTAATTTTATTCTTGTCTCTGTAGTGTACATCATTACAAAAATAGCTTGGGGATTTTCTAAGAGGTCCATTCTGGCACTATGGCAACAATGTTGTTCTTACATATTGATGATGTCTGCTTATGTCACATGACTAGATAATTCTAGACCATATTTACAGAAAATGCCTCGTTCTGCTGATATTTACCATCTAACCAACAGCATACCAAGATGATCGTGTTTTAAGCAAATTTGTCATGTTTTGGATGTTTGTGTTCTTGCATTTTGAAATGTTTTACCCAGTGCTGTGGTATTTAGTTTTCAGATATGTTTCATTTGTTAACATGTTTTGTAATTTATAACCTTTATGAATCTCCTCTCTGAATGCATTCTAGAACCCAGATAGCATATTAGCTGTTTTAGTGTTTGTTTTTTTTGTTTGTTTTTTTCTTTTTAAAGTGTTCAAAGCCTTCCTTTTTTCCCAAAATTAAGGGGTCACTCCAGACACACGTACAGGTTTGGTGCAATGTGGATGTTAAACTACAGTTAGTATGCTTGGACGGTGGCATTATTTTAGTTTTTTTTTCTCTTAATAGTTTAGTTCCTTAATTTCTCACTTCCCTTCAAAATTGTTAATTACCTTTTTTTCCTTTTTTTTTTTTTTTTGGAGGAAAGCTGTGCGTGATGTCATAACTGGTGGGGTTATTGTTAAACCCGTTAGACTTTATTTTTAAAAGGTGGACGTTTATCTACAACTCCCAAAACCTTTTTTATGCCATTGTAACCAGGAATGAAAGCCTCTCGTTTTTAAACACTTCATACATTTACAAAATGGTAACTTGAACATATTAGAAAAATAAATATAAAACAAATTCTATTGAAGCAGAAAACCAAACCCAAACCCAAACTGCTAATAGGTAGCAAAGAGTGGGATGAACCTATGCAGATAAATTTCCAATTTAGCAGGAAATCTGAATGTATCTGAATGTTGTGGAAGTATTTGTGTATGCTATATTAATATATAAATATAGGCTGTGTTTGTTGCAACTGATAACTTTCATCTACTTTGCCAGATGGCGTTGAAACTGTGGATTCCGGATGGCTGACATGTCAGACTGAGCTTAGATTACGTCTACATTATTCTGAAAAACAGCCTGTTACTATATCCAAGAAAAAATTTAAAAAGTCTAGGTTTAGGTATGGTGTCAAACTGGTTTTGCTATTTCAGAGCATACAGATGGCTTGTTACAAACCTCAAGTAATGCTGTTTGTACAGGAGACCTTTTTTATGATTTTTCAGCTTGTTTTACTTTTGTCACATTCATGAAAACTTCAGTTGTGTATTCCTCATGATGTTAGAGGAATGACATTAGTTAAAAAAAAATCAACCTCTACTGAGAACATGTTAAGATATTTTGTGTTGCTTTAATATATGTATATGTTTCAATCAACCATATATGTATTTGTTTTGTGTAATCTAAATATTTTACTATGGTATTTTAATTCTCCATCTTGTTGCTAGCTTCTACATAGTCATGTCCAGACCACAGTCTCTGGAGGGGAACTGCACGATTTTAATCTCATTAAAAAAACACATTCACTGATACAGTGTTTTAATGCTGCGTGACTCTGTAAGGGTGTATGTGTGGATTTGCAGTGTATATGTGTTTGAGTATAAATGAAGAGGTGTATTTGTTTGGAATGAGTGGGGAGGTGTGTGCGCGTGGATTTTTGGTGTATGTGGATTGAGTGCATGGGTGTCCGTATGTATGAAATTGAGAGAAGTGTCAGCATGGGCAGTTGTGCTCAGTTTGACTCCCCCTAATTCCTCTCCCTGCCACTTTCTTTTGTATCATTTCCACATTCTCTTGCCAATATTGAGGATTTACTCTTCTCCTTTTGAAACATATCTATTGTCTCGATGTCCTCACCAGCCATGCCTCCACTGACTAGCCCTCAGCAGCCATGCCTGCCCCTGTCAGCTCTGACCAACCATGTAGATTTAAATGCTATTTCCTGTGTACTGCGGAGAGCGCTGTCAACATTGTATCCTAAACACTAGATTCTAGTAAACTAAATCGCTTATTTCAGGCAACATTGTCTAATTGGGATCCTCCAACTCTGCTATAGTCAAAGCTTGGTTATTTCAGATTAAATTTTGCAATTTGGTTTTCAGTTCTTTAGAATTTAGTGTTAATAAACTCCTTAGCTAATGTTTCCCTTATGCTATGCATGTTTATAGTATCTGAGCTACATGTTGTTATGGTATGTTTGGGTGTTTGTAGGTATAAATGTTACCCTAGAACCAGGATCAAGTAATTGCAGCTAACCTTTAGCTAATTCACATTAACTGTATAATGGGTTACAGTGAGCATCGTAATCGCTACATGCAGCTGTAGTGGTTATGATGCCAGGAGTACCATGGTGCTTTTCCCTGGCAAGGGGCAAACTGCTTTGCCCTGTGTGTTGGGTCCACAGGGCAGCAAGCCTCCACTCATGCCGACTGTTACACCTCCGGAAGTAATATAAAGTGTGTTAAATACGTTCAGCAAAGCTGTCATCAGTTGGGAATAATTCAAATTTGGATGACTATGCAATGGATGGTTAAAAGATGTAGTGCTTTTAAGTATCTGTAAGGTTTCAGAAACTTCTTTCAGAAGTATATACATGTCAACACGCTCTAACCTGATGAAGTTTTATTTTTTATTTGGGTATATTTTATTAATTTTTTTGGTACACTTTTATAGAGCCAATTTCTGATTTGTACTGTACAAACAGCATTACTTTGCCCAAGGAAAACAATATAAATAAGCTATATTGATTTCTTTAGTTTTTTTTTGTTTTTTTTGTTAAAAGTCGCATGTTAGCACAAATTGTGTAACGAACAAGTACCTTCTTTTTATGGTATAATTACGGGATAAAAACATTTAAATTCAAACAAGCTCATGCTCTGAGATTTCGTAAGGGACTGGGACTTTTTTTTTTTTTTTTTGCCATTTTTAGAAATTTCTAGTCTGACCTCATAAGCGTTATTATAATGTATTTGGGGTATGCTGGTGCATGTTTAAGGATGCAGTGCACACTTCTAATGGCTTCACACACACCAAATACTCACTGGGAGGGAGCAAAGCCATACATCTACAAAGGCATCATGTAGAGTTGCATGTTCGAATATATGTGTGATTCCTTGTGATTCCTTTAGAATAGCCTTAAGAGGGGTGAAGAGGCTTGAGAAACTAAAATTAGTCTTCAGTAGAAACCTGTTCTAATTTGTTAGAATAACTCCTTGGTAAGGGCAGGATCAGAAGCCTGAACATCGTTCTGAAAATGCTGTTACCAAAGAATGTATCCTGTTTTAGAGATTAGCCAAAACCTTTCTGGCAATCAAATGGTTAACTTTGAATCAATAGAGGCCGTTGGAGCTGGTGAGTGTAGTTTTTTTTTTTTTGCATTTTTCATATTTAGATTACAGAAATAGGTGGCTGCCATAGTTATAACGGCTTCACTTTTTGAAAAGCAAACAATGGCAAATGGACAATCAAACTGAAAAATTTAGGCAATCTAGCAGTGTTGTAAACAGTCTACTTCTAACAGTCTGCTTGTTAGTTCATGATTTATTTGAACGTGTTATGTATTTATTATCGGGTACTAGTACTATGCAGCCCTGCAGGTAAAACATTGCACTGCTCAGCTCCAGGCAGCCTCTTTGGTTGAATTTAAATAGAGTTTAGGGGATTGGTTCCGTTTATTTATTTTTTAATTTTTTTTTTTTTAAAAGTCAGTTTCTGTCAGCAAACCCTTTAAACATGTGTAAAATATATAATGTAGTGATTCAACTGTTAATATCATGTATCTCATGGGGACAGGGTGAAGTTGGCATTGGCGGGCCTTGAAGAGGAAGAAGATGATGAAGAACAAGACAAAGTGTCCCCAGTTGTTCTCTTAAAAATGGAGAACACGTTTGACATCTCACTAATAAGCAATACGGAATATAAATCTAGACATTCTCAGCCAGAATGTGGTTACGGTCTACAGCCTGACAGGTGGACAGAATTCAGCATACACACCATGGAACCACACAACTTGGAATTGCTTTTTGACTTTTTTGAGGTGTGTATGTATTTATACATGTAAATATAAGAGTGTGTTTTGATCTAGATCTAATTTTGTTTCACATCTAACAAATATGACCTTAAAGGATCACTTGATTATAGTGGTAAGATACCAGATGGGTTCAGGGGCTTGACACTTTGTAGGTGTGACATCTGTGTTTCACAGAGCCTGTGTCAATTCGGTGGCACAAAAATCAGTGGCAACAAAATGGCAGCTATGATTTGGTACACTCAAAACATTCTATACACTAGTGCATGTTCCACTCTGCTTGCATGACATGAACATGCAATATGTGTAGTTACGCTGAAGGGAAATTTTCTCTTGTCTCAAGCTGAGGCATAGTTTAGAATTGGGATGTTATTGGTGGTAGGATAAGTTTTCCTTCTGCAGAACCAAATTTCATTTTATCAAACCACATGCAGCCTAATTCAAGGTTTTAGTTCTCGTTTTGAGCCAATATCAAAGCATTTAACCAGGACATGTACATTTAACTTGTCACTTGTCTCCATGTTCGTTCTGAGATTTAAATGTTCTTATTACCTTATGGTACTTGTTTTATTGACCTCAGGATGAAAGGCTGAGTTGACCTTGTTGGGAATCAATCCCATTACTCAAAGGTACTGCAGCTGGCTTTCTTAAGCATTGCACTGTCCGCCACCTAGAGTATTGTCACTGGTCAAATGATGAAGTAAAAAAATAATCCGTAAACAGGCAATGTGTTTTAAGAAGCCACAACATAAAATATCATGTCACATTTGGTGGATGTGGTAGAAAATGATCAATTACATACTGGGGATAAGGTTTGCAAATTCACAATATTGTGTAATGGCATTATGCTACTGCTTTTTGTATTAGCCAATTAGTCTTTAGCCAATGGAAATGAACTGCATTAGTCTGCTCTTTATAGAGCTTTCAGTGTGATTTAAATGCTTAAAATATCTGTACAAACTATTCAGAACTTTGATTCCTGCACAATCCCCTTCTGAATTTCACATTGTACATGATCGTGGCACACAGAGTCCATTATAATAGTGCATATTCAGATTTTCCTTTGCAGAAGTATTTACGATATAACATTTTGCTAAGTGTGCAAGTAAATGACCGTTGCCTACTCTGTTAATTTTAATTACTTGGCATTGTAGGAAGATCTCAGTGAACCTGTAGTTCAAGGTGATCCACTCCCAGGACATGTGGGCACCGCCTGTCTCCTGTCCTCTACCATCACAGAGACTGGAAAAAGCAACGGCATCATCACTATTCCTATTATGAGCAGGATTGCAAGAAAAACACTAGGGAAAGTTCGAGGTACATGTGTGGTTTTTTTTAAATTTATTTTGTATTTTTTAGTTGGGCGTTATCATTATGAGTAATGCCACAATCGAGTAGTACTCTTGGAAAAATAAACATTCAGAGATGACTCCTATAGAGAGAAACCCATTTGAGTCTCAAATGAGCAGTACAGTTAAATGATTGCAAATTTGTATTTTTAATGTTGGTTTCCTCCTGCCTATTTAGTTTGAATGGCAACCTGTAAGTCTATAAAGAAGAATAGCTTGCCTTTATCTTTTGTTGCGGTCACTGCTCCACCCCAGCGGAGCTCATCATTACTGATGATATCCTCTACCCAATGCTTCTCCATATAGTGGCAATAGGGGACTACTGCACATGTGTGGCAATAGGTATGCTGCACCAATCAACATCTTAGAGATCATTATACCAATTCTTCTGTACAGGGAGAGTTCACAGAGCAGATATTGCAGAGACATTAAAGGGTTAGTTCAAGTACCACCACCACTTAATTTCCTGTGGTCAGGGTACCTGGAGTCTGTATGTGGAACATTTCGCTATGAAACGCTGCAAATACAGCGTTGATCACCTCTGCTGCCGTTGTAATTACACCTCCAGCAGCATCGTTGAGGTGTCATCAGCCACCCCGAAAAGAGTTCCAGTTCTCATTGCACAAAATTGCATTCATTGGCTGAGCAGTTAATTGATGGATGTGGCCTTGATTTAGCTGGGAGTGTACCATCGGAGCCTGGCAAGTTCCCAAGTAAGGGTTGTAGTGCTGTGCCAGTCAGAGTGGCTACGCTTGCTGCTTCCCTTGGCTGTAGTGGTCGTGATGCTTCTAATAACCCTTTAAGCTGAAGAGGATATGGTACTTACTGTCCCTTTAAGGAAAGGTACTAGTTTACTAGTTTATTTCGCGGTTTGTGCTGATATCTATGAGAATCAAAAGGCCTTGACACCATCATTGTATGTTTTAATGTGCAAACTGAATATTCGCATGACTCCACTATTCTCTGGTTGTCTCTCTGGTATTGGTTAAGGAAACATTTTGTCTATGCAGTACTTTTATATGGAGCACTGAACGTGATGGAGTTTAGTCTACTTTTTGTCCAATATTTCTATGTAACTAGTTTTAAAGCTGTGCAGAAAATGTGTAAATTTGCCAGTGAATCACTATCCCTTTTAGACAGACTGACCGATAAATCGCATACATTATGGAGTCTTTTCCAACTTGGTGTGCACCCACACCTTACGAGCTGTCTGATGCTGTTCCAGTCATAGTGGCTACACTTGCTGCTTCTCCGTGCATTCAGAGAGGTTGCATTGCAAGAGGAGCTTTGCAGCAGCAAGTCCTATATAGGCCTATGTTTTGACAAGACAGTGTTCCTGTTTAAAATTTTGAGCCCTGAAGCAGAAGGAACATTACTCACAAGTATAACCCCCTCCACAATTGTCATTCAGTGTTCACTCTGCTTCTTCTGTTACACACTGTATTTAGCTGTCCATATTAAGCCATGTTCACAGACTAAAATACCTCTTCCGTTATGCTTTTTGTGTGACATGTGCAGTGTTTGTTTTTACATCATAACAATGTGATTTTTGATTTTTTTTTGTGCCTGCCTGCAGTTGACTATATAATCATCAAGCCAATAGAAGGTTATAACTGTGACATGAGAAACTCGTTCTCAAAGTACTGGAAGCCAAGAACTCCACTGGATGTGGGTCACAGAGGAGCCGGAAACTCAACCACCACTGCAAAGTAAGACAGATACTAAACATTTCCACTTTCTAACTAAAGGTTTAGAGACTGCAATTTTTTATGAAAACCAGGTTTCATTACTGCCCACACTTTAATATATACATAGTGTTGGTGAAATCGCCAGCACACCACCAGTGAGCGCTCCCTGAATAATCCTGAAAACTGCACAACTGGCATTTTCTACCTTATGTGTAAGAGCAGTCTATGCAGTATAAGCTGTTGTAGTGGTTATGGTCCTTCTAGCCTTTGGATGCTGTCATTGGTTCTGTTTCATATCTCTTGTAAACTTTGACCAAAAACAGGGTTCCTCTAGGCACCTGTGGCCTAGCTCCTCACTTGTCATATTGCTGAAACGAAAATACACATATACATCAGCAGTATCCATTTTGGCTATATTTGGCTGGTAGTGATAGTTTGAGTGTGTCTGTTTATCTTCATGTTGCTTTTATTTGTACAGTGTCAATAAAAACATGTTAATGCAAACCAGTTTAGGTGAGAAAAAGACATTCTCAAAACCGCATTACTACATTACATCACAATGCTTTAGTGAAGGTGTAGATCTATCAAAGGCAAAGCTATTCTTTCAGTTTTTTTTTTCTTCTCTTTCTCTCTTTCTCTCGCTCTCTCTCATATATTTTTTTTTTTTCTTAGTTTTTTTACTTGGATCTTGATCATATTTTTGCTATTTTACAGGCTTGCCAAAGTTCGAGAGAACACTGTTGCCTCGCTTAAAAATGCTGCCAGTCATGTAAGTTAATTTTATGTGGGCGTTTTTCTTTTCTTGAACACATGTTTAAATCTATGCAGGCTGATGTTCACTTGCTGTCGAATATACCCCACCCGTTGACGGGTGACATTGTAAGGTAATGTTACTAGAACTGTGGGAGCAAATCTGTACAATTCTTGCTTTTACTTTTGCTTTTTTTTAAAAGGCATGTAATGCCATGAAAACCATTGTGTTAACATTATTTAATGTTCAGGAGACACTTTAAAGCTATACTTAAATAATTGAACTTCATGCTGAAATTGCACTGACTTTATTTTCATGCCACACAACTTCGAAAATGATCAGTAAGCCTGTTCTTGTAATGCACATCGGTCATTTATGTCGCTTTACCCTCAACATTATTATGCTTACTGTTGGTTCTGTCATACTTAATGCTGTATTTATTTATTTATTTATTTATTTTTATTCAGGGGGCAGCATTTGTGGAGTTTGATGTCCATCTTTCCAAAGATCTTATCCCTGTAATATACCATGACCTCACTTGCTGCATATCGATGAAGAAGGTATAGTTACAATCAAAGCGTTTTTCAATGCATTGTTTTGTCGTTCTAGAGAATTGTATTAGGCATGTTCCTAAGTCACACTACAGTAGTAATATAAAATTGTACATCCAGATTAGAGCAGGTAAATTGGACAGGTCTACAGTTATGACATGAATGCATAATTTGTGTTATGTTTTTGTTTTTTTCAGAAAGCAAATGCCAGCTCTGTGGAGCTATTTGAGATTCCAGTGAAGGAACTTACATTTGATCAGCTGCAGCTATTAAGTGTAATTATTACATTTCCATAATTTATTCTCACATTCATTCCTAAATTTTAACATTTTAAACCCCATGGTCACATGTGTTTGTGTGTTAGGTTTATTTTTTTATTTTTTTTTAAATAACTGTTTACCATTAAGACCTAGAGAGGAAGGTTAGTCATTTGATCTATCTGTTTTCTGCAAAAATGTGTGGGGTTAACATAACTCTGCTGAACTGTACAGCCTCGTGCAAAAAACTCTGACCCGTGATAGTTTTCCGAAGTCGTCTTAGTGGTTTTATGCATTGGTCACATGCCCTGCAGTTTTATCTGGAATCTGCAACATATCCTCCAGAATTTTTAACTCCTTCCATGGCATCATTAAAAATCACCTTCAAATTGAAATAACTTGAGCCACCGCATTTTATGCATCTTTTTTTCCATCATAGTTGGTTAATAGTTGAAATCCTAGTTGCTGACTAATGCAATGTATTTTTTATTTTCTTTCTTTTCAGCTTGCTCACGTGACGGCACTAAAGTTAAAAGACCGTTACGGTATGTTCCATCTGGAGTAGAAATACTAATCCTCATTATTCCTTCTCTGTAATTAACACATTGAACCACATATCATTTAGTAAATTCCACTAAATTGATCAAATGAATAGGACTGCAATGTTTGGGTTCTGTGTGTGTCTAATAATGTATGCTCATTCATAAACCCAAGTACAGACATAGTAAAGTAAAGCAATTAGTTGGTAGGATTTAGGTAAACTAATCAGATTATTCTGAGATTGTTTTTGCTAGGAAGAATCTGTTGTATAATTTGTCTCTCACCACTTCCAATTGGTATCCTTTTGAGAGAAATCCACTCTGCGTTATGTATTAACAGTGAATGTAATATCCCTGTGCCACCTCTTCCAAGAACTAACATATATCTTTATCCCCTTGTCCAGATAAATATGACTAGCACTACGAAGGTATTCTACTTGATATTACAATTAAACAGCCAACACTATAGTTCTTACCAGAGAGAGAAATTTACTTAAAATCTGCCAAGTTAAATATTACAGAAGACTGTTAGTTATAGTATTAGTTACAATACATTCATAACACTCACACATTCCATCTATCTAATAATATCTGCTGTATTGTGTATGTGCTGTGAGATGTTGTGTGCAGCGTGTGTGTCTCACCAACCTAGTCTCATGTGATGTGAGTATCTTCTATTTTTAAAGGAATTTGTTCCCATGTTGTAAATAGCCACTTCCTCAGCTCAATTGATATGTAAATGTGATTTACTTTCCCAAGGCTCAAAGTGTTGTCCATCCTGTCATTTTATTTGTGTATGTGAACTCTCCCATACACACTGACTTAATCAAGCACATATTAGATATATTATCATATTTTCCCCAACAGAATCCACTTTATTTTCCATACCATAGCATATTTGAACATTTAAATCTGTGTTTAAGGGTCATACAAAAGCAAAAATGGATTGATAGAGCCAATGATTTGATGTGTTGCAAGTCTTGTTAAATGTGCAACAGTAAAAATATTTTATATTTTAATCTAAATTGAATACTAAAGGTTCTGCGGGACCCTCCACAGCTCTGCCCATTCTTGGGGTATCTACACTTTTTTTTTTTTCTTCATTATGCCCTTACAGTTCCCTGCGTCTCCTTGTTTGGGATGCATTTTGCCTGAAACAAAATAGCACTAGCTAGTATGGCTAGTTTACTGTCGCCTCGAGGAAAGTTTGACTGTACATACTTTTCACCCTGTCTACCAACTATTCGATTCTCCCTTTTAACAGCACTTTCTAATTTGGAGCACTGAATTTGCAATAGTTTTTCTGCATCCCCACATATACATGTTTGTTTTTGCTTTCAGATGTTTGTGATGAAGAGTCTGTTTCAGACAACCATCCTTTTCCCTCTCTTCACACGGTAAAGAAAATTCTAACATGTCCATGAAATTAATGCATAAACCGTATTACTTCCTGTAGTCTTCAGTTCTATATTGGGCGAATGGAAAATTGGTACTGTCACTTGAGCTAGACGTGTAATGCTTTCTGTACCTATAAAATAAACGTATTGCCAATATAACCTGATTCTCTAGGGCTAAACTATTGTGTAAAAATATGTGATCCCTGCTATATTACAATGTTATTCTAATGCAATCAGATATGTTTTGTTTTTTTACATTTGGCATGTTTCATTATAGGTTTTGGAATCTGTTCCTGAAGACGTTGGGTTCAATATTGAAATCAAATGGATTTGCCAAGAAAAAGTAAGTATATGTGGCAAGTAGAAGACGTACATAGAAATATTTTAGCTACACTCAAGTCTACAAAATCAAGCAGCATACTGCCTTGTAAGCTCTCTAGCGGTACAAGCAAACTAATGGCTTTTATTCCGAATCTTTCTTTTAAATGGGAACCATTATAGAATTTCTCCTTTCTGACACTTCTTTCTAGCTAGGGATATCTTGATCTTGTACTTGCGAATCATACTTCAATATATGTCCAACCACAGGACCTTTCTGGGGTTGTCCGATTGTAGGATGGCTCTCTGTGACCACAAAATGCCAAATATAAAGTTTCATGAAGAGGAATACCGGTCTAGGGCTTTGTGATAAATTAGAGTGCCGCTTGCAAGCCAAGCGTAATCGCCCATCATCATTGGTGTGTGATCCCAATAATCCTTTTGCAGCTGAGCAAAAGTACATAATTCCAACGTTTAGAATACTTTGTAATCGATACTGAGTGATAAGAACCAGTACGTAAGTGGAGCTCTCAGATTAATAGAATCAATAAAAACTCGCCCCTTATACAACTCAGGGTTATATATGTAGGACATGGCCTAAAGATATAGATAGATATAGAGAGAGAGAGAGATAAAACAAGAAATAATTTATTGTGGTGCAATCAACTCTCTCGCGTCGGGTTTAATGGATTGGCTAAAATCTTGCAGGCGTGTGTCTTTAAGGTGCGCACTACCTATTCTTTCCATGTTCAGCAGGTGTGATTAAAAAAAATAATAAAGACAACCAATGGTTATTGCACTACAGAGTATTACTCTATTCATTCTATTTATCTGGGTGCTCCCGTTACATACTGGTGTGTAGGGTTTTTTTTTTTGGGGGGGAGGGCTGGCTTTTCACTCAATATCTATAACAGATATTTCAAGCGTGGTCATTTCACAGATAACTTGTATATATTTCTGGAGTTTTCCAACATTTGGTTTAAAGCCTCTTTGAAGGCTAATGTCACATTAATGCCTGTGATTTTTAAATGAGATGTTCCATATGTTGTAAATAAATTTGTATACAATCTTTTTCACCAGAAATATTGTTACAGGTACTTTTCTCTTGCTCCTTTAGTGTGGTAAATGGGATGGCAATTTGTCAGCCTATTTTGACATGAACCTGTTTCTGGACATCATTTTAAAAACCATTTTGGAAAATGCTGGTCGTAGAAGGATTGTGTTTTCATCATTTGATGCAGATATTTGCACAATGTAAGTAAAGACTGAGAAAGTAAGTTTGCATTAGTTTATATGATCCATAACTTATTATGAGTCCTCATGTAGCTCACTGTTCACATTGAACTCTCATAATTGGGGATGGAGTCATAAACTGCAAAAATAACTGACCTCAAGCTTGACGCTTTCTGCAGCCAGACGGACGATCTCATTGATATCAAAAAGCCTCCATTTTTTTAGATTGCATATTATAGTGTAGATTTATTTTTAATTCCACAAGAATTGCCTAATGAGCTCCATAGGCATTAAAGCCCTTGTTTATTTATAGATCTGAAATAAGTTGTTCTCAGCCTGCAGCTTTCATAGTAGTGGCAGTAATGTAAGAAACTTAACCAAGAGACTAGAATAGATTGTATGTTCAATCATGATGTTATGGTTTGCTCTATACAGAGCTCCACTGTGAAACATTAAAGCTTTAGCTTTCAATGAAAATCTCGAAGGAAACTATTGTTTGTTGAAATTTGTATTTTTAATTGCGTGAAATTGAGGAAAGTAGTTACAAAAGGTTAAAAGAGGAAGGTATGTAAAACGGATGCCCTCCCAAACCCCCTTCCATGTTCATTCTCTCTAGTTTCTTACCCCCCTTACAATGTTCATTGTTTGCATCTGCCTGCAGCTGTCCTATATACTGAATACTTACATGCAAATACAGTCCTGATTGAACATAGATGGCATGGGATCCACAGCTAGTCCACCAATAATTCAAATAAAGCAAAACCTCCATAACAGCTTATTCTCTTCAAAATTGGGTTGTGTTTTTTTGTTTTTTTTGTAGCACCAAGTACATGTTTTTACTGCACATTTAAACTACATATGATAAGAAAAGATGTGTAGGTGTTTTATTCCCTATATATTTTTCTATCTCTCGTAGTGCCATGCCCATCCCACCCCCCACCCCCCCTTTTTTTTTTTCTTCAACTAAAACAGTCTAGCAGTCTAACTGTATTACCTGGTGTTTTCCTCTCCCTTTCGTGTTTCCATTTCTCTTTACACCTTTTACCCTTCAGCACTTTTTGTTCCACTGTTTCTCCCCCACCAGTGTCACCTGCTATTTCCCTCTTGCCCTGTTCGTGTCACTTGTTTTGCCTTGGAGTGGTAAATTGATATGAGTGATTTGTGTGATTGTCCAGATTGTGTTGCCTGCAGATTTTTTTCTGCTTTCCCACTATCCTATGACCATTAATGTAGATATTAGAACCCAGATATTTTCAGGCCATGGATTGTGTTTTGCTAGCAATACTGACATTGTATTGCTTGACCGTTAATACTATGTGAATTGCTCATATCATTTTTTTCCCTACACTAGACCTTTTTGCATGCCTATTTAGTTAATTGCATTTTTTATTTATTTGTTTTTAGGGTTCGTCTGAAACAGAATAGATATCCGATACTATTTTTGACACAAGGGCAGTCTGAAATATACCCAGAGCTTATGGATCTCAGATCTCGTTCAACACCAATTGCAATGAGTTTTGCTCAGTTTGAAAACCTCCTGGTAAGATGTCTATTGGATCATTGGTGCATGTTAAATAATGATTCAATGCACTTCTGTCATACCTCTAAATGGGCCTTTTTGTAGTAGTTCCACAGGGTCTGCTCCCTCTGTATGTAAATCATGTTAAACCTAGAAATGACAGATGTCTTGACTCAATATAGTCTTGCACATATCCTGTAAATACCATCCAGCAGATAAATATGGGCCAGTGAAGTGTTTATTTAATTTTAATATACACTGATCAGCCACAACATTAAAACCACTGACAGGTGAAGTGAAAAACATTGATTATATATTAGGCAGCAAGTGAACAGTCAGTTTTTGAATTTCATTTGTTGGAAGCAGAATAAATAGGCAAAATAAAAGATCTGATTGACTTTGACAAGGGACAAATAGTGATGGCTAGATGACTGGGTCAGAGCATTTCCAAAACGGCAAGTCTTGTGGTTTTGTTATCGATGCAAAGATTAGTACCTACCAAAAGTGGTGCAACGAAGACAACCAGTGAACCATCATCCGAATCATGGGCACCGAAGACTCACTGTTGCATGTGGGGAGTGATTGTTAGTCCATCTGTTCCGATCACACAGAACATCTACAGCAACTCAAATTGCTGCAAAACTCAATTCTGGCTAGCTCGAAAGGTGTCAGACCACACAGCGCATTGCGGTTTGCTGCGTCTGGGGCTAAATAGCTGCAGACTGGTCAGAGTACTCATGATGACTCCTGTCCACCACCAAAACTGTTTTCAATGGGGACAAGAGTGTCAGAACTGGACCATGAAGCAATGTGAGAAGGTTGCCTGGTCTGATGATTTAAATTTTCTTATTGATCAGTTGGATGGCCAGGTGCGTGTATATAGTTAAACTGGAAGAGATGACAACAGGATGCACTATAGGAAGAAGGCATGCCGTGGTCCTGGCATGCCGTGGTCCTCTACTACCTAGAGATTGTTGCAGACCACGTGCACCCCTTCATGACAATGGTGTTCCCTTGGTGTTCCCTTATGGCAGTGGCCTCTTTCAGCAGGATAATGCACAGCAAAAAGTGTTCAGGAATGGTTTGAGGAACATGATGAGTTCAAGGTTTTGCCTCGTCCTCCAAATATCAATCAGATTTAACATCTGTGGAATGTGCTGGAACAACAAATTAGATCCATGGAGGCTCCACCACACATCTTGCAGGACTTAAAGGAGCAGGTGCTATTGTCTTGGTGCCAGATACCACAGGAAGCGTTCAGAGGTCTTGTGGAGACCATGCCGCAGCTCTTCGCGAAGGGTGATATTCGGCAGGTGGTTTGACATATTACAAGTTAACAAAAAGTTAGTGTTCATTTAGTATACAAAATGAACATGCACCCCTACTGTCATGTTTTATGTCTGTAATTGACGAAGATTCAAAAGAAGGCCTGGACAGCGTTCTATGGGAAATGTGCATTTTATATTAAGTGTCTCACACTTGCTATTTGAGCAAAGTATGGTTTCTGCATATGTACTTTCCTCTCAAAGTGCATAGAAGATGCAGAGAACTCTCCAGGCTGACTGCTAGGGATGGAGTTACAGGGAGATATTTATATTTTTTTGCAGTGCAGATAGTTACAAGCAAGTTTGTGGTGCCACAACAGCAGCAATAGACAGAAATAGTCAGGCATAGTGGGACATAGCATGGCAGGTAAATACTGTACATGTTTTTTTTGTTTAAGATAATATAATAACATGCTGAATAAGCAACTTGTCAGAGCTTAAGAAAAGACGAACAGAGTAAAACATAAGTTGCACATTTTTAGTTCTATTAGAATGAGCTGGTCAGAGCATAGTTTAAGCAAGGATTAAGATGAGCTAGGCCAATCCTATCTAGCTGTGTAGACGTATACGCTTGAGTCGAGTAGTTTGAGTAGAAAAGCAAGACATCAGGTTATCGTGCTAGCTAGACAGGTAAAGGTTAGTCAAATCAGATCTATGAGTATGTTAGATCATACAAGCTTGGATACCAGGATGTGTAAACGTGATGTGAGGGTGTTGGGCAAACTAAACATTTGTTATGTTAATATAAATAGCCTACACCTCATTGGTGTTCATATGGTAATTAAGGACTCAGAGCCTACATAGACCTGAAAGCTTCAGGTAGCATAAAAATCTTTTGGATGTTGGAGCACTCAATCAATACTACAGCAATGCTTGGCATTAGCTGTGTAAAATATGCGAACAAACAGAAAGGAACAAAAATAAATTTTCATCTGCAAAAAATTAAGGGCCTCTTGTTAGGCATAGCATATTACTTGGTGTCTCTCATGAACAATGAGGAACTCCGGTTGCAGGTTTGGTTACCCGGTCAGCTGACCCCCCAACAGCGGTAGAGGTGGTTCCAGTGTAGGAAAATCCCGGTGAGTATATACTGAAATGTAGCAATACAGGGCTCTACTCCAGCTCCAGGCCTGTGTGAGGGCCAGCATCACAGTCCATGGACTTGGGTGCACTTCAGGACCAAATCCTTCCCCTGTCTGGGGTGTGCAGAGGGTTGTGGTGTTGCGGGCCGCTTATGGCGCATGAGTAGTATGCAGTAGTATGTCCCGGGTGACCGTCATGATTAGAGCCTCCGTGAGGTCAGGCAAGCACCCCCAACTTGGGTAGTGCTGAGCCGTGAGAATCTCTTTTCTTTTCAATCAGGCTTAGCACCCCAAAATTAAGATTTGCAGGAGCCCCGGGAACACGTCTGCTCAGCTAGCAAGCCAAGCTCCGCCCCCCACAGGAAGGTTTTGTATTGCTTCCAGAGGTGTATGTATAGCTTTCCATATTGAGATGCTGGACATACAGGGACCTTGCACCATGACCACTTCAAAACACTGAGGTCGTCATAGTGCTCTGAATAAAAATGTCAAATTAAGTACATGATTATCATGTGTTTTGTGTTTTTTTTACTTGGTGGCCCTTTTCTTTTTTTTTTTTTTTGTAAACAGGGGATAAGTGTGCACACAGAAGATCTACTGAAAAACCCACATTACATCAAGGAGGCAAAATCTAAAGGCTTAGTTGTGTTTTGCTGGGGAGACGACACAAATGATCCAGAAAACAGGAAGCTAATGAGAGAATACGGCATTGACGGATTGATTTATGACAGGTTTGTGTGTGTTATGTTTAATACAATAACAGCTAATCATCTGGAGAGAGTGCTCGGCTAAGCTTTTTTTACATTTTTTTTTTTTTAATATTTGTTTCATTATTAAATACAAAGAAAAACGTGTAATAGGGAGAAAATCCTGTTCATCAATAACCTCTGCAGGGTAAAAATATAATTAAGGGGAGAGAGAAGGAAAATATACCTATAAGGGAAATGAAAAATAACATTGTTACTTTGTTTTTTAAATTCCACAGTGCCCACTATTTGTCTCCGAGAGACTCGTATGGGAATGGGGTATACATTTTGTTTCCCTTCACTAGCTTTGTTTAGTGAAGGAGTATGTGAGTATTTCCAATAGTGGAAGAGTAGGGCTGCAGCAGTGATTTTAGAATGTGAGTGAACACTATTATTTGGCATGTCTTACAGATATCTGTATAGCCAGCACACTTTATATACAGGTTGAAAAGGAGGAGCACAGAAGTTTTTTTTTGGGGGTACAACTATCAACTGTGTAAAGTGCCGACTGGGCAGCCTTTCCCTATGTAGGGGTGGGATTGCAGATAAATTGTATGTCTTCAAGCGGGTGTCATAAACCACTTGTACAGTAGCTTATGCGGCTTTCCATGTCTAGTATTCTGTCACGATCTAATTTCTAACTTTTGTCCATTGCTTTGGGCACAGATCTAAATTAATTTCTTCCTCCCGTTTCAAGGTTTCAGGTGTTATTGAAAGGTTCTTGTCCATGGTAGTTTTAATGCAAAGTAATGGAAATGTACAGATATTTGGGTTTTAACATAATCACATTCTATAGGATCTTGATGGAGAATAGACTTGGCTATATTACACTTTTTTTTTTTACAAAAATTTTGTGTTTAGCTTACAGTATTTGTGTATGATAATGGGGGGGAGGGAGTGTATGTATCTGGGCTATTTGTGGTGGTGCGTGCATGTAGGCTGTCTGCGATAAGTGTATACTTATCAGAATGTTCTTTTGTTGAACGTGGAGCAAACTGTTGAAGGGAAGGAGTTACCAATGCAATGTGCCTGCTGGTTTCCATGTTCCACTATTCATACTTTAGATCACATTTTACAACTGATCAAAAATCTCTCCTAATGTTTCTATTTCTTCTAATTTTATTTTGGCCTCTTTATGATGACAGTATATTGGTTATATGATAGGTAGCCAAAAAGGATGTGCTCCGTTCTAAAAAATAAGTAGATACAAGTAGTGTGAAGTTTTGTTATATTTTTGTTTCATTTACAGGGTTATCTACTAAAGTGAGGATTCAAAATAAATTTCCAATTTAAGGCCAGAGTAGAACTGAAAGCATACCCGATTTCTTCTTTGAATTCCAAATTTAAGGTCAAAATAGCCAATTTGAATTCATCTTGAATTTCCTCTTTATGGAATAACCCTGTTAGAAGATAAGTCAACATAGTGGGAATTAATTACTTTTAAGCCCTGAAGTGGAAAGAGTGCATTAGACCACAGTTTTCCATGCCAATTCTCCAAGTACACGAACGACCTATGTTTTGTCAGTGTCCCCACTGGAACAGAACATCTTATAAATTGTGGGTGTGCCTTGCAGATTGGCTTGGAAACACCACCCATAGACTATTATCTATTCACTGTAATGTGTGCGTTTTTTCACTATAATAAACTTTTACTTCATGATGCTAAATTAATAATAGTTAAGACAAGCTTTCAAGCGTTTTCCTTTTTTCCTCTGATATGAAGCAATACTGATCAACACTTAATGTTCGAGAAGGGGAAGGGGTAAGTGGGGTGTCATAAATAGCGAGTATGCCTGCAAGTGAAAGGTCCAGATTGCTTGAGAATAACCAGAACAAGTAAATAAAGCACATCATAAACAGCAGAGAAATATCTGCAGCTGCATATATGTTTATAAATTGCTCAGCTATAAGTAAAGCAGTGGTATTGTGAAAAAAATGTACAAGCCATTAATATGTGTTTTTTTTATATAAAGTTTTGGTAGTGTCAGAAAGCTAGAAGGACATTTAGTCCTTCATTTATGGTGCTGAAATGTGATCATTAATCATGTCTTTCGTTTCTGAAAGTCTTAAAAATTCCCGTTAAGTATTTTAACGTTGAAGTTTTGGATGGAGTGACTAGTCTGGATAAAGTAATTCCCAACAAGGGTAAAGTATGTGTTTTTCTTATAGTTTTTGATTGTCTGTGCAGCTAATCTACTTTATTTCATTATACAGGATATACGATTGGAACCCTGAACAACCAAACATATTTCAGGTAGAACACATGGAACGTTTGAAGAGAGAGCTACCTGAAGAAATGCTCAAGAGTTGTCTCTGCCCAGTTCTGACAAGCCATTATGTCTGCAATTCTGTCGTCTGTGTTAATAACAAAATCCACATGGACACAAACGGTGTCTCCAATGGTTTCTCCAATCATCAGCCAGCTTAAGGCTTTTTAAAGCGTCTCAGGGCAGCACACTGCTTAAACCTTCATCAGTTCTTCTAAAGCAATAACCAACCTGTTTTTGTTTGAGTACAGAACTAGCTTGCATCTTAACATTGGTTGGTCTTTTTATTTATATATATAATTTTTTTTTTTTTGCCAGACATGGTTATCATTCCAGGATACTGAACAAAATTACATGTTGTGATGAGAATTAGGAGATTAAATACCCATAGCTGCAGGCAGAATCATGTAATACAGATTTTGTGTAGAGTAAAAAAAAATGCTATATGTGACCACAATACCTCAAAAGAGAAGTGTTAATTTATATCCTTAAGTGCAATATATACACAAGCAGCTCGACTCTATAACACACATGTCCATCATTGTACTGTAAGCATAATTATTTCTGGCCATTTACAGATTACCTCATATGCAGTCTTTTGCACGGCAGAATGCGCTGGTACACAAATGTGCCATTGTTTGAGAATTTAACATTTTAGTTTTTTGGTGCCATGCTCCCTTAGCTTCTTGTATCATGTTGTGTGCTCTTGGTCTGTGTTGTAAATAGACATGAGTTTTATCCACATCTTGTGTGTGCGGATTCCCCAATCAGCCAGTTTTGTTTTGTACTACAGATGAGGTTGCTTGGAGCCTCGTAGCATGAGCAGACAACACTGCCTGCTTTGCAGTTATTGAATTCTGCTTAGCTTTCACATTAACATGGACATGTTAATGGGCCTTCGGCATTTGCGGCCCTGCTCTTACAATGCAGCTAAATGCAAGATACAAATCTTTAATGGTAAAAAAAAAATATATATTCTTTTTAGTGGCTAAGTATTGTAATATTTCTTTAAATATAAAATGTTTGGTCTTAAAATACTTGGCAACCTTAATATAAAAAAAAGTGTATTATCAAGTGTATGCATGAAATACAGAGCCTAATTTACACCTGAGTATACAATACTTAATTTTCCTGCTGACTGGATGGCAAAAACTTCAAAATGAATACTTCTCACGGTGCCTAGGAAACCTACAAAAAGCCAATATATATGTATACATGTGCATACATTTGCTAAATTTGTCTGTAATGTTTTCCCATATTAAATAATATGCAAGTCACTGTAGCTTGTGGAGCAGCAGCCTCTTCATATAAAGTGGAGCAGTGGCCTACCTTAATGTACAGTATGCTGTATTCAGCTCTTGGAAGCATGCTAATAGTTCTAGCTATTTAGTATGATTTTCTGGATTATGAACCATCTTTTTTTATTTTTTTATTGTAATATCTTCAGAGCAATTGGAATGTAGTCTTGGGCTCTGTTCTACCACTTTAATGACGTCTGTTTATCTTTTCATCTACATTGAAAGTAATTAATGCCCATTTGCTATTCTTAATCTCATACACGCGTATGTAAATAAGTGATGAGCTGTATTTATTTTTTTCTTAATTTCTTGCGTGTGTTCGTAGGGAGGATATTTGTCTGATGGCATAAGGCAGAGAATCCTGTTGACTATGTTCAACGCACTCCATAGTTTTCTACCAATGCATCCTCCTTCTCCCTCTACCTTTCCACACCATTTACATTGAATAATTGCTGATCAGGACTGAGAACACTGGAATGTTATAACCCAGTGGGGTGACCATAAATAGCCTTTAATTTATGATGTGGAACGTATGATCGAACTCTGATGCTGAGTAATAGCGCTACAACCCCACCTGCACTTAAAAGGGGCGAGGGATTTATATGGCTGTTTTCTGATTTCAAGAAAGAGGGGTTGTTGTTGCTTTAAGGTCACTATATTCATAACTTGGTGCTTGACAAATCATGTATTAAATTATTGCAGACAAGATGGCGTTATTAACCATTAACCTGTGTATATGCATGTCTCACATGTAATGTTTTCACTTTTAATAGAGGAATGTGTAAGTTGTTACTTTCTACTTGAATAAAAAAAATTTCTTTGAATTGTTGGGTTTTTTTTTTGGTTTTTTTTTGGTTTAGTAATGTGTAGAAAGCAAAACAAACCCAGTGTCTAAGTAAAACTATGTAGTAGTTAATTCGGCCTGCTGTGTTTATGAAAAGTGATGGGACCAATTTCTCTCATACACAATAGAATTGAACGCTGTATAAAAAAAAAAGTGCTACAGCCATCATGCTAGAAATTAACTTTATTGTTCCAAGCCAAATACATTGAAAACCGCAATGTTAGCAGTGAAACTAAGACCAGAGCAATCCCACTTTGCTCCTTAGGGTTTACTCGTATGCATTCACTCCCCCCCCTTTTTTTTTTCTCATGCTTAAAAACGGACATTGTTTCTAAAGACATTCTAGGTGCTCACATGTCAGTTTTTAAAGGGGGGATACAAAGTTGTATTCTTAGCACTATTGTAGGTGGAGATTCCTAATTTTAATCTGTTTCTCAAGTCAACCCCACAGGCCCCCACCCCCAAAGCTAATAATAAAAGATCAATTGAAAGAAAACTAGTATTTTACTTATTCTTCCAACTTGTTTTCGTATTTCAGATTAAAGGTTTGCAAAAAGTTTAAAACCACTTTATCAAAAAACAATGTTTTTGCAAACCTTAAATATATGTCTCTTTTGTAGACTCTGTTCTAATGTGCCAAATTCATGTATGCACACTGGTTTATAATGTGGTTTTCCTAATTCCCCTAAATCTTGGTAGATTTAAATACAGGCATGAAAAATGTTGAAGTCACAAAGTGCAACAAATGATTCCATGTTGCTAATCAATGCATGCAGTAACAAAAAAAAGCCTGGTGAATCGATTCTTCGATAAAAATATTGATAGGTGCGCATTATAAATTAATACCATAAAAATGACCACACTCTTGAGAGCCACTAAAGGCGGGGCAAAATTTATCGCGAGTCGAAACATGGAAGTGCATGCTCAAACACAGGTGAAGTGAGACGCTGGAGCTGACAGGACAATGGAGCTAAAAAGTATTCAGATTGCATCCTGTGGAAACTTGCGGCTGGACCTTACATTCTGGAGCCTGTGTTCGGTGACCCAGCTGTTTTTTATATTTGTGAAATTTAATCTAGGATTTGAGCAATATTTTTCAGCTTGGGTGAGTCTGTATACAAAGTATAATTTTATCCCATGCACTGATCCTATCTGGGCTCTACAGATTAAAGTGCTACTTTAACCACTCTATACTTGTGAGTTTAACCTTTTAGAGTCAGTCTATTCACCTGTTTCATTTAGCAATGTTGTACTAGAATGTTTATATATATATATATATATAATTTTTTTTTTATTCTTTGTCACTCAACATCAACTTAATATATATGTTATCAAGGCAGCACATTATCACGAGCAGCTAATTATGTGGAATGGGTTTTTAGGATTAAGATAGCCACAATACTGAACAAGACAACTAGTACAAATTACTAATAGGACATTGGTACAATTGCAGGTTGTGGTGGAAGTTAAGCCAAATAGTGTCTTTTAACAACCCCCCCTCCCCCTTACAGACAAAGTGACTGTTAAAATATAACGGAATGCAGTAGGTCTCATGCTCTCTAAAGGGATGCATCCTCATCTGGTATAACAAGAATGCTGTAGAATATTAAAGGGACATTATAGTCACCTGAACAACTTTAGCTTAATGAAGCCGTTTTGGTGTATAGAACATGCCCCTGCAGCCTCACTGCTCAGTCCTCTGCCATTTAGGAGTTAAATCCCTTTGTTTATGAACCCTAGTCACACCTCCCTGCATGTGACTTGCACAGCCTTCCATAAACACTTCCTGTAAAGAGAGCCTTATTTAGGCTTTCTTTATTGCAAGTTCTGTTTCATTAAGATTTTCTTCAAGAGCCTGATTAAAGTTCAATTTAGAGATTGAGATACAATTATTTAAGGTAAATTACATCTGTTTGAAAGTGAAACCAGTTTTTTTTTTTTCCCATGCAGGCTCTGTCAGTCATAGCCAGGGGAGGTGTGGCTAGGGCTGCATAAACAGAAACAAAGTGATTTAACTCCTAAATGACAGTGAATTGAGCAGTGAAATAGCAGGGGAATGATCTATACACTAAAACTGCTTAATTTAGCTAAAGTAATTTAGGTGACTATAGTGTTCCTTTAATCAATTTTTCAGAATAATCATCTGCTCTTCAACCATTCCAGCCCGCCATTGGCCCACTTTCGTGGTTGTGAAGTCTCCGCTGGGTACTGCTTCTCTTTCAGAAAGCTTTGGAAAGTTCGGATTGCTTTCCCAAAGCCTGGCACACCTATTTGTTGACATTGATGTGCAGGCTTCATTGACAGCACATTGGTGTGACTGAACAGAGTGTTGTTACTTTGTCAACGCCGCCCTGTCTGATGTCTGTGAGGGAAGGACTGGGTGGAGGACTTAAGCTGAAGCTGGGACAGCAAAGAGAGGCTGGGGGGTTGTTTGGCACACAGACATAGACTCTAGGTTGTTTGCCAAAGAGGTAAGAGCAGCACATTTTTAATGGAAAATTGAGCAAAATCTATACATTTGCTACATAGGCGTGCGCAGCATATTTTATAAGAGTGTGCACCCTAAGCACAAACACACATGCCGCATGTGTGTGTGTGTGTGGGTGCTGTGTGTGTAAGGGTGACATATATGTAGAAAGGCCATTAGGCCTGAATTTGTGGGAGGAGTAAGTCCCCTACTTAAACTCCCAGCCCCTACTCACTGCTGCCGCTCAGCTGATTGTCCCCATAGCACCCAGCACTTCCGGTCCAGCTTCCCGCCAGAACTGTTCCTGTTTCCAGCAGTCAGACGTCCTGAACAATCCACCGTCCGTTCAAGGTCCTTCCACTCGTTTTTTTCCTGGTCCAGGTACCCGACTTCCGGTCACGAGACCGGCACGTTCACGTAAGCTAGGCGAGGGAATTAGCGTTCGCTATTTCCCTCCGTTCGGGCCTAAAAACGTAGGGGTAGGCTCCCTCTATCTGATTTACACGAATACGTGCTCTTCTTATAAAGTATTCTGTTCGCGCCAAAACGCACGAACGCTCGGATCATTTACTTATCGTTTAAACATTCGTACGGAAACTACCGAATCTATATATAAAGTATTACGCTCATTATTATCTGTATTCCCTTTTTTCCGTTCGGTCACTCAGTACCGACCTATTTCGTACGGTAAATACACGAACACCATTGTACTAATCCCTATTCGGCTATATTCCTATTCAAACAGGCTAAAGTATGCACAAAGTTCAAATTACACGAATCCTACTACATTTACGTATATTCCCTGTTCGGTCAGATAACTACTGATACCTACACATCAGTATGGGGTTATACTAATCTGGTTTAACAACCAGCCTTGTGTTTTTCTACCTATGCTAACCGATTTAATTTATTTTACTGTAAACTATTATAAACATACGGTTTTTCTTACACATATTTTAACTAATAAACTTCACCCCTTCTTAACCATGGTACATACTTTCATACGCGACTAATACAAATACTATTTTTCTAAATATACACCAGACATTTTTTCTCGAGACACAGATAAGTCATTAAACACTACGTGCTACAAATACCGGTTACACCAACATCTGTACTATTCCTTTCCATATAATCACGCTGTCACATATTTTGGCTTTTACAGATTGCATCGGTTTCTCGCTTTTCTGCGCTAAAGTTGTTATTTCAAGGTCTTTTATTACAGGAACAGGTATTGTATCTTATCACTTTGAGTTATCAGGTTTTATTACTTACCTTCACATCTGTCGCTAACTATGGAAATTTTCTTTGGTTAAACCCTTAGCTCCTGTATTATTCTAAGCTTCCACCGGTTCAACGCAGTTAACTTGCTACGCTTAACGTAATCTCTGTACTTCAAACCAAGGTATAGTTCACTACTCTTTTTACTACATCCCATACTAGACCTCACGCGGTCTCAATTTCATTACTACTTTCCCACAGGCTTACGCCCACGGTACGTTATCTCTTTACTATTTTTCTACACAGACATTCGCTCATACGGCCATCAGGCTCTGAAAACATCAAAACCTGACCCGGTACTCAGCCATACCTTCAGGTACTTACGTCTTTACCCAAGTACGTCCATTCGCCAGCCCAAGGCCTCTTTCTGCCTTCTCACAAATATTTAAAATCATCCCATTCTCACACCTAACCTTCCAGATCCCTCAATGCAGGATCTCACGTTGCGCCCCTAACAAACCAACTCCCAATACAAATCATACGACACCACGATACGCATAAATACATCAACATCTGTCTTAAATCCTCAGGATTCTTCCTCAAGGACAGCAATAAGACAAGACTCACCACACTTATTACCACCAGGAGGTTCCAGATACCATTTGCGACCAGTCAAGGTTAGTATCCACACACCACTCCAGTCCTCTCACTTTATCCTTAAGCATACAATCGAACTGGCTACAGGGTCCAGGCTAATGCCTTAGCCCACCCTATCAGGAAATCCGATCCCGCGAGGCCTACCACCCCCACCCCACCTCAACACGGAGGTACGGCCCCACGCCCAAATCATAGTTATAAGCCTCGCATGCCCTACTACAGGGCTCTAGTTAGGGCCTCACCTGTCACGGCCACACGTTTTGATTTCTCTTTACCGTCACCGAGAGGCCAACATCCCGCCACCACGTCTGTGGCAACTACGTCATAAGCCAAATCATAGGTAGAGCCTCTCATCGCCACTTGGCATTAGCAGGGCCTCACCTATCCAGACATTCAACAGTTAGGTTTTTCGCTTCGGCATCTAGCATTACAGTCCAGTTCTTCCAGATACACCACCCCCCATACCCCTCCTACTTACCTCACTCCCCTTCTAATATATCTTTCACATAATCATTCCTTTTTAGAATGTCCCAAGAACCAATTCCAACCGAAGAATTGACAGAAGAAACACCATTCACGCCAATCAGACCCGGGTCTCCAGGCGAATCACTCACTCTTTCAACCCCCACGTCCTTGAGAGCATGGACTATTCCCAAAATTACGGCCGAGCTTAGGCTCAGGGGAATCCCCTTTCCGGCCACAGCTAGAAAGGCAGAACTTTATAGGCTGCTTACCCACCAAGCCCCCGAGCCTAGGCCTGGGACTAGCTCTCAAGGACAACCACCAAGAAACAGCACGGCCACCCAGGATACCCTGGCA